ATGTTACCTATAGATGGACTACACCTGAAGTAACACGTAGGTGTTGTTAAGGAACGAGGGACGCACACGAAGTGTAAGCCGCTATGAAATATAGTACAAATTAAATTCATCGTCTTATTTTGAAAGTGTTGATAACAGTGTTGACTGACCATACACTTTAAGTGGCTGTCAATATGCTAATTAAGTGTATCGATTAGATAATTTAACCGGTTCATTTGAACATTTAGGACGATTTATTTTAGCGAGCGCCTACTTAACTTAATATAGCAATTGCTGTAGGTACTTTAATAATATAAACATATGCAACGACTCCGTACTTGTATGAACAATACAAACATTCACTCTTCTTTCCATTTTATTGTTAACCCTCTAAGTAAAAAGAAATATGAAAATTTTGAAAGCTAACTACTTAATACTGAAATAAAAAGCTATACATACATTTACACCAAAAATGCGCTCGCTGCAAAACTCTTCTACAAGCTTTTTAATTAGCTTACCTTATGAGCTTATATATATATATATATATATATATATATATATAAATGTATATTTATGTCACTTTTAAAAAAAATGCTTTTTTCAAGCATTTGATGCCATCAGATAGACGTGAAATGCGACATATCGAATATACTCGTATGTACTGTTTCGGTAACAATATAAGTAGGAATAGAGTCACCCCAATAAAGAATCGATCCCAATACCTTGTATTGTGCTCCGAAATTACACAGCTAATCACAACAAAAGGCTTGTTTTTATAATAATCTTCTACAATTGCTTATTATAATTATTAGTAGCTTATAAGTTTTAACAAGTGCTATTGAGAACACCAACAACGTGTAAGAACGTAATACATTGTTTTTAGAACAAGAAATAGACCGTGACCGGACTGAAGTCTCCCGTAAAAAACTCGATAGTTTTTTCTGTAACATTAAGGGAAAGATATCATATTATACAAACATAATTTTTGATTAGTATTTGTATTTATGTATGTTTTGTATATATGTGGTTAATCGCATAGTTACATTCGTCGGGAAGCACGTCTATGTATAGGTTACACATTGCGTAAAAAAATCTTCATTATTTTTTGTCTGTGTGTCTGTCTGAGAATCCCAATTAAAAAATTATAGATAATAGATATATTATACAAAGTATTATTAAAGGTATCTATAACTTGAAGTGCTTTATTATTTATTCATTATTTGTTTATATTTAAAACAAAACAAAGTTGAATGATTAAATAAGTATTCTAAATAGACATTCTAAATGGACGAGTTAGAGCTGTCTTTCGAACCTGGAGCTTCTCACAACCCACCGTAACTTAACCAGAATACGTTTTAAAACTCAGGTACTGACCCATTAAATAGGGCAAAGCAAATGCCAAATTGATAAATATTTTGACGTACAAACACTTACTGCCCCTTAAATATATCAACTTACGAAATACAGTGGTGTTAACAGTAAAACAATGCAGCAGTAAGACCGCAGTATTTAATTGGACACGAAACCATACCGAAGCCTAACAAATTATTGAAAAACTTTAATTATCAAAATAGTAGCAGATCCATCCACAGTTGGCATAGTTTTAAACTTGGCATAATTCCTAACGGATATTATTTTTTAGCACCTCGGCGACCGAGCATCGCTCGGCGTTTTTTCGGAAAACTTGTAAAAATTGCGGTTTTTTTTCGAAAAGACACCTACCTATATATGTATCATGTATGTATGTATATATATATGTGTATATATATATATATATATATATATATATACTTATATATAAACTTAAAAAGAAAAACTTTATCTGAATAAAAATATTCAAATCCGTTAGAACCGTTTCCGAGATACAAGAAATAAGTGTATCTATATAATAATATAGACAAGAATTGCCCGTTTACTATAGTAAGATAAGACTAGTTTTCAAACCCGTGAAGTCGTTACAACATTGTGTTTATTTCCTTGTCCTTTTTGTTGAAAAATAAGTAATAATACTTACAATTATCAGTATTTTTGTTTGGATACAAGTTCAGCTAATGACTAGGTCTTAATGGAACTATGGGTCTACAAGCAACTTATCCAGCTACCCTACCTAAAGTGGCCTATGTATTACTCCATTATCATTTCTATCTGTGTATTAAAGTCCATATTCCATATAATAATAATATAAGTAATAAATATTATATACATGTAAAAGTTTAATTGGAAGTTTGTTACTTAAACACGCCAGAATGGCTGAACGGATCAGCTCAGTGGTAGCGCGCTCGCTTGGGAATTAGAGTGAAGCGGGTTTAAATCCCGGGTCTCCACCTCCGATATTTTCATGTGCGAATCATTTCCAACACAATTACCACTTGTCTTACCGCGCAGGAAAACATCGTAAGGAATCCTGTATGTATGAGAGTAGCTAGAAGTTTTCGAAAGTCCACCAACCCGCACTCGGCCAGCATTTTGGGAGACCCATAACAAGCAGTGGGACGTTAAAAAAAGGGCAGAATACAAGGAATAAATAATAATTAAAAAAATTAATTATCCCACACCAGAGAAGACACCTAATAAAGACATTTAAACCTATTACTATTATTGTTGATCAAAGTATGAATGTGCAAATTATAGTGATCTCATACTAATACGGTTTTAATATTCATGATTTAAATGTCTTACATAAACAAACATTGTTTAAAATATAAATATTAATGAACATATATTACATGATGGTATAAAAGAAGATGATCACAATAAGTTATGTTAGGAATTTTAAAACTTTATTTATTATTCTGTAGTATATTTGAGGTACACCAGTGACAAGAATGTAATTAAAGATATAATTTGCCTTTTAAGCAAAATTATTTTAAAATGGTAAAATTGTTTATTTTTACAGTATATCTATTATCTATACAGATAAATAAAATTGAAATGTCTGCTTGTAATGTCAAAATAACAGTTACCTACTAAATGCATATGAAAGTACATATTATATGTGGTACTTATTAGAAAATACAATATTTTATTTGTCTGTCTCTTTGTTCCGGCTAATCTCCGAAATGACTGATTTTGACAGGATTTTCTTTTCTGGCAGATAACTGATGTTATAAGGAGTAAAATAGGCTACTTTTAGTTTAGAAAAAGAATCAGGATTCCGTGCAAAAAAATTAAACCTATGAAATTGTGAACAAATCGTACCTAAGGACCACCCCAGCGAAGCGAGGGTAAGTCGCAAGTATACAATATATTAAATAATAAGAGTGATTCTTAAGTAGTGTTATATAATATTTTAAGAGCATGTTACTTACAAAATTAAAAAAATTAAAGATAGTAAACAACAAAAGTAATTTTTTTATGATAATTATAAGCAATAATTACTTATCATAATAAGTAAATATATAATAAGTTTTTTTTTATAAATATATCTTTCATATATTATTAATAGTATTAAGTTATTATTTACAATTAATCATAATATTTTTTTTAATCGATACGGATCTCGCGTAACCGTGTTAAATATGAAAAATAAGATTTTCCTAAGATACATAAAGATAAAAACATTTCGTTCAAATTGAGCGGTTTAAAAGAGCAGCTTAGAAAATATGAAATAACAGCTCGCGGTCTAGAAAATTGTCGACCGACTGTGACGAAAATTTAAAATCTATGACCTACCTTCATGTCCGATACGATTTGCTGATACAGGTTCCATAGAGGAGAGCAATCCTTCTCTGTAGTCCCCTCCATTGTCAAAATTAACACAAATTTCACTCAAAAACACAAGAAACACAATCAAGCACTTTTCACATCGCACAATGCCCTATATGCGCCATAGCTATAATACGACAACTGTTGCATTTTTGTTAAAATAACTGTAATTAACTCACACTCATTTAAGTACTACCTACATTTCACTATTTCTTAAAAGGCAATATATGATACAAAAGCTACGAATGTAATAAATCAATATTTATAAACACGAATATCCTCCATTGAAACAGGACACAAGAAGTAATGATTATGTTCTGGTAAAATTTCACTTAAAAGGGAAACATAAAAATTATGGAAACATATAATGGAATCTAATTAATTCTTTTTCATTCAAAAAAGTGATAAGAGATTCGTTTTCATATACAAAAACACGAATAAAATTGGCTACAACCGCAACAACGAAACGACAAGTCGACAGCCTGAATCGGTTTGTTTGGTTGGTTTAGAAATTAGGGCTGCCAGTGCTATGTGCTTTTAATTACCCAAATATGTACATTGATATTTCATGATACTTTAAACAAAATTAGACAATTTATTTAAGATACAGGACTTTTTTTATAAAGAATTAGTTATTATGATAGGAATTATATTCTTATTGTTACAAAAATGCTTATTATTAATAATGTTAATTTATTTCACAAATTTTAAGTTTGTGCAATACGTTATCAATATGGATGAAATATACAAGAGAAAAAGATATAGAAGTGAGCAGTTTTTACCAAAATTGCAGTATTTTAAATTTTAATGTCACATAGTATATATAATATCATGAATCATCAATCTGCAAGAAAGTTTTTTCATGTAAACTTTTTGTCCCGACTTTTATGGGCTTTATTGTGTTATGGTAACTCTGGGTGCTGTAAGTAAATGTTGCTATTGTTTAATGATTGAAATTTGAATTATTGCCATATATATTTACAGAATAGTACCATCTATATAAAAATATATTAATTAATAAGTATACGTTTATTAGTGCGCGTATATTATCTTACATAAAGTATATATTAGAAGATCAATATTAAAGTTCAAAGTTAATTCATTATCTATATACTATCTTTATTTGAATATTGATTTTTCTTTTAGCAGTTAATGCTATTAGTTTCATCAGATGTCAACGTCAAAATGACTCATGTCTTAAAAATTCGTATTTCGTGATAAATTGCCGGCTGTTTGAATTTTATTTTTTATTTAAATAAAATTCTCAAGTATTTTGTTACAAATAGTGTACGTAGAATAAAGCAATACTAAAAAAAATGGTTCGTGTAATTACTCAAGAGACGTACGACGATGTTGTTAAAGAAAATATCGATGAGTTTGATATGTCCCCTGAAGAGGCTATTAAAGAAGCCGTCGCACAATTTGAAGCTCAGGTATTTTTTTAATATAAAAATATTGTTTAAATATATCATAAGTAGCATTTTCATATTTATTTACAGTTCATACTTAATGACTGAATAGAAGAAACAAGGAAATACATCTGTTTACATCTTTCATGGAATTTACTTACTTTGTTTTAAAATTTACATGTATTTAATTAACAGAAAACTTTTCGTTTTATTAAATGTTCTACAATTAGTTTTTGTAATGTTGTGAAAAAATATTTTTTATTAACATCAACAATAAAAACGTATTTTTACTTTCAGGGTGTGGACCTATCTAATATAATAAAAGATCTGGCTCTTAGCTCTAATGAAACTCACCTTATTTGTATATCTATCAACAATCTTAAAGAACTTTGTAATTCTTCTAAAGATAAGACACTTATTTTAAAGGAATTGGAGATATTCAAGGTATGAATATTGAGTTTAATAAAAGCAGTTAACAATATGAAAATAATCGTGTCTTTTTTTATATGAGAAACATTTTATTTCATAATTATTTATTAGTAGGCTTTTTCTTTATTAAATGTAATTAAAGTTAAGTTATTAAATTAAATTATTTGCTTTGGTTGACATTATTAAATTAAATCAAATCATCTGCATTAAGTTATCTAACATTATAAGAAAAAAATTTTTTTATAAATGTTAAAGTTTTTAATTTATATTAAAGTATTGTAATGAACTCAATATAAAAATAAATAAATTATTAATTAATATTTCCCTCTACTAATATAGTGATTAAGATGTAATTGTTTTTACTAACAAATAGGGATGTAATATCCTGAAATAAAATGAAATATTATTATTATTGTTTCTAGACAGAATGTAATAAAGATATAGCACATAGAGTCAGGGCAGGTAAAGAAGGTGCTTATAAAGTTTTGATTGACTTACTAGATGAAAATATAAAAACATACAAACAGGAAAATAATGATATAATTATTAAGGTTTTAAACAGTTTGGCTGCTCTAATGGATGTCCAACCAGATTTATTAGATATAAAAGGTGTGGAGCTAACTAAGAGGTAAGAAAATCAAAGAAAAACTAATTGAAATCAATTATTCAAAAAAGTAAAAAACACACATTAATAAAATGATTTTAAATAACTTGAATATCTAATTTATTATAAGAAGTTTTAATAGTAGTACCATTATATATTTTTTGACATTAACACACAGCACCATCTAGTTCCATGGTAAGCTACGAGGTCTGTGTTATGGATGGACCAGATAATTGATACACTACATATAGATAACTTTAAGTACAAACATATTGTAAATATAAACACCCATGACTGGATACAAACATGGTCATCACACAAATGAATTCCCCCAGCGAGACTTGAACCCGCGACCGCTGGCACAGCAAGGAACACTACAAACTGAATGAGTCGTCAAATAGCATAATAATTTATTATTATGATTGTTTTTAAAATTGTGCTGAATTCAGATATCTAGTTTAATGACTTAATTGAATAACTTTCAAAGACATATTTTACAGTATCTTAGAATCCATAGAGAATGATGAAATTCTAATAGCTACACTGCAATGGATTAGTGTGTGTTGTTTGAAACATGAGATGAATAGACAAAAGCTATTTGCTAAAAATATAAGTGATAATTTGAAGGTACTACTTGAGAAGAAGGAAAATGCGAAGGTATAATTTTTGACATATTTTGAGTTCTTCTTTTCTATATAATTCTTCCGATTATGTGAATTTCTATTAGGGTCGCTCATCATAACCAGTTATCATGTTTTTTGCTCTACACAAAATGACACAGAAAAGCTCTATAACTGCATTTAAATTTAATTGAAAGGGTACTCTGTTTCAATTAACTGTATTTCAATTCAATTTACAATTTTCAATTTAATTTAGATAAGGATAGTCTATGTTTCGATTAGTATTTATATAGTATCTGCATATTATCTAAGTACCTATCTGTATTAAGAGACCAAGAGTGCTATGAATATTGTTATCTTAACCAGTTCGGTAACTAGTTGACGGCATTTATCCTGAAAACCCGTTTAATTTTATAAATCACTAGTGACTCACCCTCGCTTTATTCTCGGGTTCGTTCCTAGTTTGCTTTCAAATACAAACTTCCATCCCCATTTTCACCTCTTTAAGGCATGTTTCCGGGATAAAAAGTATCCTATGTTCTTTCCAGGGTCTCAAACTATCTTCTTATCAAATTTCATCTAAATCGGTTCAGTAGATCCAGAGATTACCCCCTACAACGTCACAAACTCACAAACTTTATCTCTTTATGATATTAGTATAGATGTGTAAAGTTCGGTTTTTGGTTGCTAAGAAAAATACCTTATACAATTTTTTTAGTTGTTAAGTGAAACATTACAAGCTATAAGACGTTTCACACTTGACGACGATATTCGTATGGAATTCGGTAAAGCTCACGAACATGCTCGCGAACTTGGCACTAATTTGTTGGAACAATTGACTGGCTTGTTGAGAGGTAAGTGTTTTTTATATTTTTGTAATCATAATATAATACTCACAAACAAAAACAAATCTATCCCACGAGAACCGTACATTTTTCTGGGATAAAAAGGGCGGGCATTTTTAAATAAAATTATTACTATAAAATATTATACATATAATAAACTCTAAACATCGGAAATTAAAAAGAAAAACATAGCAAAATTAAAGATGGGTTCATTTAAAATAATTACTGCAACTTTAAAAAACAACAACTAATTATCTTTTTTTATGAAAATGTTAAGATACTGCATTATTTTTTGGGGTAATTCGGCAGATAGTGATGTAGCTTTTAAAGCACAAAAAAAATGTATCCGAGCAATATCTTATAATATAAAAATGCATCGCTGAATGTGTTGGTAAGCGCAAATCTCGAGAGTAGCTGAACTGATTTCGCTAATTCTTTTTTTAGAATATTCCTTGAAGTACGAGAATGGTTCTTACGCAGAGAAAAACTTAAACAATTGTTTGAAAAAGTCTAAAAACAACACTTTTCTATACTCCCATGTAAAAGATTCGTATACTTAAAAGTCAATTTGAACTTTAATACCATACCATAAGGTTTAAGTGTTAGTGGAGAGAGTCCGGGAAGGCAAAACAATTGAGTGACGTTAGTATCGTATTAATATTAATGTCAATATTTGTCAATATTATTAACAAAAAAAATATAATTTATACGGCTAACGCTGGCTAATAACTATTTATATCTATTTAAAATGTACCTAGCGATGAACCCGAGCAAAGCGAGGGTGAGCCGCTAGTTTAAATTAAAAATAATTGAAAGTTGTAAACCATATTTGAAAAATTATAATATTATGACATTCCCAAGTATGTACATCTATGAGACTATTAATTATATTAAGAATAATTTATATTTATTTGCTTCGCCATCCGCGTTGTAAGACCAATATTTTCTCGAAGAGTGTGTTTTGTACTGGACCACTTTTATATAATCATTTGCCTAAAGATATTTTAGAAATTAATGAAATTAATGTATTTAAACATAAATTGAAGAAATTTCTATTAGAAAAGACGTATTATTTAGTTAAAGACTATATGTTGGATAAGGTGTAATATATCATTTTAAGCAGGTATATAGGTATTGTAATTAACTAGCCAAAAAAGAATGATATAACATACATTACACAGGAAGTTAAACATAACACTGAATAATATGTAATATATGTTAACGTTTGTAATTTTAGGTATATTTTAATTATTGAATTATTGCATGCTGTAAGGCTGAATTTGGCTGAACATTAAATATATTATTATCAAAATGTAAATGTATGTACTAACCCAAGTTCGCAATAAAGTGTTTGATTTGATTTGAATTAATTAATTTTTGACTTTTTACATTGCGCTTAAAGCTACATAAATTTGGTATGGATATTGGATAGTGATGTAACAAATATTATTATAATGATAATTTTCAGCATTTGCTAGTATACCTTATATTACATCACTAGGATCATCGATCAAAATGTACTAGATACACAATCCCATGCAAAAGATCTCTTAAAACTGTCACCAATTGTGTTTAGATAATTATTCTAGTTGAAATAAATATACAACAATGTAAATTGAACCTTAAAAGCAATGTTTAAAGTGGTTTTCATTAAAAAAAAGATAGAAGCGTGCTCAAATATTCCAACGAGCGTTTTCAGTGAGGACATTTTTGTCGCTGATTGTGTATCTAGTACTTTTAAGATTAATAACTAGTATAGAATAAAAAATGCGATATTACTGATAGTTCTTTTTTATCAATTTAAAGAGTTATATAAACAGTGTTATGATCATAATCTATGCACCACTCTCGAGTTATAACTTGTAAATAAAAATAGTATTATCAAAATCGGTACATTACTAAACTAAGGTTATATACACACTAAAAACATGAACGTGAATTCTTATTTATTTCATGTTGCTAAAACCTATACATTTTTTTAGAAAATTGAATAATAATATTTTTTTACAAATTATGTTATATTTTATCTATAATCCATACTAATATTATAAATGCGAAAGTAACTCTGTCTGTTTGTGTGTTACTTTTACACTAAATTTGACTGCCGATTTGGGTGAAATTTTAGTATGGAGACAGTTCGAGTTCCTGGGAAGGACATAGGTTAGTTTTATCTCGGAAATTATCTCTTGAGGGTATGAAATGGGCGGTGGAAGTTTGTATGGGGTATCAATAATTCCTAAGGTTTATAATGTTTTTATTTTTTAAAGTACTTACCTACTTTTCTATACCTATGTAGGTACATATACATTATATATAGTCTATTCAATATTAACCGTTAAAACATACCTACGGACTAACCCGAGCCAAGCGAGGGTGAGCCGCTAGTTTAATGTATAATTTATATTTAATCTATATTGTTATATTCAATCTATAATCGTCCATTTTTTTTCTAGAAAACACGAAACCCCCTCTAGTGTCTGAATTGATGTTAACAATATCGACATTGCTAGTTCGCCACGAGCTGTGCGCGCGCGCATACGATGACGTGCTGTACGCGGTGCTCACAGATAACTATGACAATGTGGCCGTTATACAGCAAGCTGCTAAGTTGTGAGTGCATTTATTTATCTACATATATCATCTATTTTATTAACAGAGTTACATTTTTGAGTTAACATATATTATCTATTTTATCAACAGAGTTTGTGACGTTGTAGGGAGTAATCTCTGGATCTGCTGAACCGATTTAGATGAAATTTGGTATGAAGATAATTTGAGACCCTGGGAAGCACATGGAATACTTTTTATCCCGGAAATCATCCCTTAAGAGAGTGAAAATGAGGATGAAAGTTTGTATGGGGATTCAACCTAGGGACGAACCCGAGGGAAGCGACGGCGAGTCTGTAGTACATAATAAAAAATACTATATAGTTTCATAGATTTACGCGAATATTTGATATTTTAAACGACATTCACGTGAGACTCTCTTGACCATGATTTCTGTAAAATATTCGGAACCAGGAACTAAAATATTCTGGGAAAAGATAGTTTTATTTGAACTTTAAGTTGTATTTCGTCTATTTTATGTAAAAAAAAGTGAGAGAGAGTTAGTAAAGGTTTATATATGTTTGGTATTAAGAATGTAATAAGAAAATAGATTTTTTCATAATTAAGAGTATAATAAAATAATTTACTCGAAAAAGACACACATTGACAAAATTGATACTGTGTTAATGCTCAATTAATATTAAATATTATGAAGAGATAATTTGGGTGATTTTTAAATTTACATGTAGGATCCGATTTCAAAAATTCTTTCACCAATAACTGCAACTTCACTGTGGGCATAGATTTACTATTCCCTTAAAATACAAAAGCTTTACATGACATGCTACCTGTAATACCAACACGAGCATTGGCTATAGACTAACTTTATTCAGATAAATTTTAATATTTACCCACCAAGAACAATATAATAATAATAATAAATAAAATAAATATATTAGGACATTAACTCACCGCACCATCTACATAGTCACATGGTAAGCTACGAGGCTTGTGTTATGGATACTAGATAGTTATACACTACACATATATAACTTTAAATACATACGTGTCATAAATATAAACACCCATGACTGGAGTACAAACATTCACGCTCATCACATAAATGAATGGTCCTAACGGGACTTGAACCCGCGACCGCTGGCACAGCAAGTAGGGTCACTACAAACTGAGCCAAACGTGTCGTCATTTACATTATATAATATGTGCATATTATTTCATACTACCTTACACTACCAAAATAATTTTGATGTCGCTGATAACTTATAAAATTTACAATCTCTAAATTTTTAAAATCCACACAATTTCTCTGCTGATTGAAAGTGTGATCTCAAAAACAAGCATCTCTCGTTATCTAAATAAATAGTTTTCTTCTTCACAATTATTTCGTTTTCTATTCTAGAACGTTCGTGTATTAGATCGGCTCTCAGTTTTTCGGTCTCCAACGATCTCTTTTGTAAAATACTCATGCTGTCGTTCAAATCTCTTACTTCTTCTATTAATTCTATCAACGAGCCTTCCCTACAATTTTCAACATTCGGACGTATGTTCTTAACGTTCAATCTCGTTTGAGCCACTTGTATCCTTTGTGATACTTTCAATATTTCCTCATGCAACGTCTGTAATATATTTTCTGTTTCAACAATTTTTTGTAAGGTTAAATTTAACTGATTCTCCAATTCTTTCTTGACTTGTTCAGTTCGTGCGATGCGCTCGCTTAAAACCTTATTGACTTTCACATCTTGAGAACGCAGATCTCGAGCGGAATTGATTAGAATCGCGTCGACCTTTTCCCTCAATGCCTTAGAATGATCCATAGCTGTTTTGAACTGTTGTAGCGAGTTAACAGTGTAATTTTCCCACGTCTGCACGTTTGACTGACCTTCAGACAGTCTGGTAGCACCGGCGGAGTCTTTCACATTTACAGACTTTGTTTCTAAATCTGAGTTGTGGCTTTCATACTTAAAAGCTAAGTATTTATTGCTCCAGTCAGACTCTAAAAGATTTTTAGCACAAACGTTTGTCCTCATCTGGTCCTCGATGTCTCGTAACATCTCTCGATGTAAACGCTTAATGTTTTCGATTAAAACGGATTCGTTGAAAAGGTCGTGTTGAGGGTCATCGTACACCATATCGGATTGCATTCTATTAGTTCTTACAGAAAGACATTCCTCTGTTATATACTCCGGTATCCTTAGGGTGTCCATAGCGTTTTTTAATTGTTGTCTTACAGCCTCCAATATAGAAATTTCAGCATCGATGTCCTTTATAGCCCTTTCTAGCTCCGATTTCCAATAGTTGATATGTCGAGTTCGATGCTTGAGCTGATCGGTGCTGGCACTGAAATTATTACACGAATTCTGATTTACTTTTACGATGCAGTTTTTCGTAATGGAAGTGTTTTTATCGGTCGTGCCTATTATATCGCCTTTTAATACGTGTTTATTGTGTTTATCCCAATTCTCGAGGATCATTAAACCAAAATTTTTATCACCAAATGATAAATAGTCGCCATTCTGGTTTGAGGACATTTTCACGAAATTTGGGTATAGGGATAATAAAGGTAGAACTGCACATATTGATTTAATGTCTCGTTTCCATGGTTATCTATTTATTATTACTAGGTTTTATAATGAGGAATAATTGTGGAACGTTTAATAAATATAGGGGCAGGGGTAGCTCAGTGGTAACGCGCTCGCTTGGGAAACTGAGTGAAGCAGGTTCAAATTCCGGGTCTCGCACCTCTCATATTTTCACATGCGAGTCATTTCTAACATGATTACCACTTGCCTTACTGTGAAGGAAAACACCGTGAGCAAACCTGCATTTCTGAAAGAACCTAGCAAGTTTTCGAAAGACATGCACAGTCTATGCAATTATGGCCTGATCCCCCTCGTAGTAAAGGAAGGCAAGTGCAGTGGGACGTTAAAGAAGGCTGAATAAACTTTTTGATTTGATTTGACTCCAAATATTTACATTACGCAACAATCAAATACACTCCTTTTAATAATAGACGCGACTTTTCAACCGAGTTCAATAGTGTTTTGAATATTCTATAAAGCTACAATATTTTCTTTACTTCTTTCAGAATAACGGCGCTTGCCGGCAACGACGATGTGAAAAGGCAGTTGGTTAAGTCCGGGATAGTGCCTATAGTAATTGCTTTACTCAACAGACATTCTGTGAGTATCTAATAAATTCTACAAAAATCGAAAATATAACTAACTTAGAGACATCTCATATAATAACTATGTTGTGACATTAACACACATCACCATCTAATTCCATGGTAAGCTACGAGGCTTGTGTTATGGATAAAAGATAGTTGATACACTACACATATATACATACATATTATAAATATAAACACCCATGACTGGAGTACAAACATTAGTCCTTATCACACAAATTAATGCCCCTAGCGGGACTCGAACCCACGTCCGCTGGCACAGCAAGTGGGTCACTACAAACTGAGCCAAACGTGTCGTCAAAGTCAAATATGTTCTTTTTTATATTTCATTTAGTACATAATTATGGCACATCATATTTGTGATGTTCTATGATTCTCACTATAAACTGTAGAGTACCGTAAAATATAGAATAATAACGTTTTCACGTACAGATATACATAATACATATCTATATGAATATTATAAATGTGAACGTTTGTGAGTATAGATGTTTGTTACTCTTTCACGTCAGAACGGCTGAACGGATCTGGATGAAATTTGGCACAAAAATAGATTATAATCTGGAATAACACAAATGCTACTTTGTTTTTGTTTTTCAGATACATATATATTATACATAATATACATACATAATAAAGTTGAAAAATATATATTATATTCCAGAATAATCCAATAGCCAGTTCATTACTACTGAAATGTATCTCGGCGTTAAGTCTACGCGAGCCGGCGCACGGGAAATTGTTCTTAGAGAACGGTGTAATAGAGGTCATAGTCGAATGTCTGTCTGTTCATCAAGATAATTCTAGTGTACAGGTATGTTATATTATAATTGTTATTATTATTGAGCAAAGCATATTATTCCGTTGCGGAATATTTTGCTGATGTAAATGTGTGGGATTGTTAGTAGTTGATACTAACGCGGGATGAGAACATAATTATTGTATTAATATGTTGTAAATTATAATAATTATATTTAAATAGAGCAACTGTTGAGTTTCACGCCGGCTCTTCTCAACAGAACTGCTTTACGAGCCGGTGGTAGCTTGCTCACGGACTACACTGACATTTAATTTACATTCAAAATGGAAATTGACGATTCAAAAGTGTTTGTAAAAGCCTTTTTGAATAAAGTATATTTGATTTGATCGTACTACTATTAGAAATGTGAATATTTGTACGTGTATGTGTGTATGTTTGTTACGCTAGAGTGTAAGTGCTAGTAATAAAATTTGTCAAAAGTTGACATTATCTGTATCCGTATTATTTTTAATATCACAAATGTGAAAGTTAGTGAGTATGTATGGATGTTTGTTACTCAATCACGCCAGAACGACTGAACGGGTCTGAATGAAATTTGGCACAGAGTTAGATTATAGTCTAGAATAACACATAAGCTACGTTCTATCCCGGAAAAATGTACGGTTCCTGTGGTTGTTCTTATATAGGTTTGTTCTTGTTTTCCTAGAGGCGAACCCGAGCGAAGCGAGGGTCAGCCACTAGGATATTGTAAATTAAAGATACCTAATATTACCCATTTTGTAATAATGTTACCAATACACAAAAACAGAGTGTCTTTACCATAACTAGAGACTATAAGAAAAGTGCCATTGGACACATTCTTAGATATAAGTTACAGTTAAATTACTTAATAGATTTTTTATCTAGATCGTAATAATATTAGGTTACAATATATTAGTATTGTTACCTAGAGAAAAACCTAATATAGTAGTAATAGTTTAGTAAATATTATAAATGTGATTGTGTCCGAAGATGTTTCGATGTTTGTATGTCTATCATGCGTAAACTGTTGGATGTATGGTTTTGTATAAAATTTGGTACACCGATAGTAGTAGATAGTAAGCTTAGCACCAGTTTTTATCTCATTATTGCATTATATTATGTAAACGTAGATATTGCTATGCAGTTTTGAGTTTACATCATTCATTAAAAATGATCAAAATTATTTTTTTTCAATTTGACCAAAAAAAGAAACAAAAAATATCTACAATTACATAAAACGTCAACTACTGAGTTTTAATCAAATTTTTCTTTCAATCTTCTCGGCAGCGCTATCTATTGATAAATTCTTTATTGGGGATATATTATTCTATACATATTATGTTTTCAGAAAAACGGTTGTTGGGCTGTTCGCAATATGGTAGCGAGGTGTCGTGAATACAATACTAAATTTCACGAGCTGGGAATCGAATCCGTACTGAACAAGGCGTATGAAAAGTTTGGAAAAGACTTCGGATTTGACATCAAATCTGCACTCCGAGATTTAGAATGTGATGTAAAGTTTGACGAACAATGGACGGGGAAAGGTGTTCAATTAGAATAAATAAAGTAAGGGTTAGAAGTGTTTTCTTATCACTTTGCTAGAACAAAAATGGCGCTAACGCATACTAATATTCAAGGTTCGGAACCGGTTTAAAAAAACGGTTAATTTAGGTGATGCAATGGTTAATTCATCGGTCGTTCTTTAACCGGAATAATGGTTAACGGTTATTGTGAGAGATAGGGTTTGATTTCGGTTTTGATATCGAAATAAACCGGTTAATTCATTCAATAAGAAACTTACATATATCCTATTACTAAGCAATTCACCGTCAGCAAAGATTCGCCGAATGTAAACGCACAAAAACTTATTTTAACCGGTTAATTTTGATCACGGAAACTAATTTGGTCAAAAACCGTTATCCGGTACTTAACCTGTTAAAGAACGTAACTGAAACCTTAAACCGAAAAGCCTTTCGGTTTAGGGTCAATGACCGAAGTCGGTTTAAAAATTGAACGAGTTTCTAGCCTTGCTATACAATATTTTGTACACAAATATATAACTTTCATTGGCTATTCCGTCTTTCAGACTTCAATAATGGATCAACGGCTTTTACTTATTATAGTTTATGACCCCAAAAGTGATAGTACATTAATATGTTAGAAACAACTTAAGAAAGGAAAGAGTGTAGGATTTATATTTATATATAAATAAAAATGAAATGATTTTTGTTAGTAAATGAATCACAATGGCTAGATCGATTTGGTTATTGTTTTCAAATGTTTGCAATACTTTTAGGTTATAAAAAACATTCGAAACGTCAGGAATCAAAATATAAAATAAACCGCGACAAAATCCGAAAACATAGCTTTATTTTTAAAGCACTAGAAAAAGTAATGGGCTGGAGCGATAAAGGCTCTTATATCACCACATGAAGTACTTTATATATTAGTGTCTTTATTGGAGCTATTAATTTTCATTGAAATTACTTTGTAATTTTTATTAATTAACCAACTTCCAAAAAGTCGGGAGGTTCTCAATTCGTCGGAATATTTTTTTTATTAATAAGCTTTGTATGTGAATGAATGAACGATATGAATATAATAAAAGCTTTTTATACAATCCTATATGACATTTTTATTTTATACTAGATACTTACTCTTGTTTCGCTCGGATACGTCTCTAAGCTTTAATGGTGTAGAAACGCATAAATGACAAATGTCTATAGAAAGTAAGAGTTTTATGTAAAAATACTAACTGCCCATTTTCTTTGTTGGATTCAAATTATTTTTTAAAATAAGATAATTTGAGTACATCAAAATATCGAAATTTCATTTAGATAACATCAGATTTCATCGCCTTAATATACCTACTGTGTATGTGAAAAATGTGTTTATTTTTTTCACACTGTACTGACTTAATAGATTTCAGTTGCGATTCAGAATAAGAATAGGTATAACGCCCTGGAATTAAGTATTCGCCTTCAGGCAATCGTGAGAGAAAAGGTTATAATACTATAACCTATAGTATTGTAATACTATAACCTATGTTAGTATTATTGCAATTATTTAATTAAAAAAACTAGTTTTTGCTTTTTCTTAGGACTGAAGCCTTTTCTTTTTGGACTGATGGTAGACATGACGTTTAGTAGAATTATAAAAAAAAATGTGTGCGTGTAACCTTTACGCGCGGTCAAAGTAAAACTTCTTTGACGCTGCGGCAGATACCGCAATTATATTAAAACAAATTAAAATATAATCATTTTTATAAAATAAATTACTTATTTACTTCAAAAATCACGCTAAATAAACATGTTTTAACCACTAAAATTTTTGAGGTACTTTACTCTCGTTACTAAAGGTAAGAATAAAAAATTAATATATTAAAAAAAACATTTAATGCCTTGCAACATGTTGGTATAAAAATACAATATTTTTTCATTACATCATATAATGTAATGTACATTTTGGAAATTACAATACAAGTAACAATTATAATAACACTCTGACATGTTCCAGTAGCTAGAGGTGTTTCCATTTTAATAAATTTTACAACATCACAGTACACAAATCCATACAGAAGGTGATCGCTTTTGATCATTTTTTTATTCTGTGGCTTATAGGCGTGGTGCTAGATTTTATCGGAAATGCTGTTAAATGCAAGTTGTTTATGAAAATATTTAATAAACTAACGGTTAGTATGGATATCCCACGGGAACCGTACATATTCCGGGATAAAAAGTAGCCTATGTGTTTTGGATGTTTGTCACTCTTTCACGCCAGAACGGCTGGCTGAACGGATCTGAATTAAATATGGCACAGAGATAGATTATAGTTTGGAATAGCACATAGGTTACTTTTTATCCCGGAAAAATGTACAGTTCCCGTTGGATAGATTTGTTTTTCTCTTTTATGTACTGAAATAATATTTTACTCTACATTGGACATTACTTTCACTATCCCAATGCAAACGTTTAACTCGGTCCAATTTACATATCGAAGTAACTACTGGACTATGTCAGTTCATATACATATGTATGTAATAATTGACATCACATATTATGCTTATAAAATTTAGATTAAGTCATGGTTCGTACTAAATTTTATGCTGCTTTAGGCTACAACTTAAAGTACACAGAAAAGCTAACAAATACAAACACATTTTCATGGATAATCGTCCAAAAATTTCGATTAAATCTAAAGACACAAACTGGGAAATCTATACATACATACATATAATAAAATTCTATTAAGTCGAATCTGTACATAAAATATTTATTTTGGAAAATGTTATTGAAATAGTTATTATTATCGATAGAGGCGGAATCTTTAGTTTTTAGATTATTTTCTGTCTGTATGTGACCGCATAACGAGAAAACCGCTGGATATATTTGGCTTAGCTGGTTAACCGGGTCAACATATAGGATACTTTTTATTGTGGGAAAATATCTCATCTCTGAAAAATCTATACTAAACGTAACTTACATACAAATAGTTTCCAAAAATTCCCTGCACTATTTGTAAATTGTTAACTTAAGTGACAGAGTAGTTACTACTCCTTGTTATTTATCACTCACTGTGTATAACAATTATGGAGTGCCTATTAGTAATGAAGTTGAAGAACTTTGTGTACATGGAATTGAACCTGCGATCACCGTCACTTATGAATTTATTTAGATTACATTTGTTAACATTTGAAACCACAAAAAGTAGCCATTTTGATAAATGCGTTGTCTATGGGACTAAATCGTTAATTTATAGGTGTATTTGAATTTGTTTTGATTCAATTTTCTTTAATTTTCATTTAAATTGCAAAACCAGATGAGTTTTTATGATTTTTGGACTATTTACCCCTTTTCACCTCCTGGGCTTGTTATTAAAATAGCACATAACACATTTTTAATACACTAAAGTCATACTATAAATTAAAAAGAGTTTGTGTTTGTTCAGACTAATCTCAGTAACTGCTGTACGGATTTTCATACGGTTTCTACCAATACAAACTGGTATCATTAAGGAAGATTACAGGCTATAATGTAGGTATAAACATATCAAAATACATAAGAAAAAAATCGTTATTTTTGAGAATATACATAATAATGTGATATAAAAGGCCTTTATGGAGACTAGTCTTAACTATGAATGTCACTATAAAAAATTGTATAATAATTAAATCTACTTATTATTCAAATAATATTAAATGTTACATTCTATAATTTGTTCATTGATCATTTGCTGATAAAAAATCAGTAAATATCAAGGCAGTAGTAACCAAATGCAAATGGTAACGTGTTCGCTTGGGAAACCGAGTGAAGTGGGTTCAAATCCCGAGTCTCGCCTCTGATATTTTCATGTGCGTATCAATTCCAACATGATTACCACTTGCCTTACGGTGAAGGAAAACATCGTGAGGAAAGACGAAAGACATGTAAACCCGCACTTGGCCAGTGTGGTAGAATATGGCCTGATCCCCCTCGTACTGAAGGGAGGCCCACCCCCAGCGTTAAAAAGTCCTGAATACACACATACATTAAACTACATAGTATATTTTAAACCAGATATTTAAGTAATTTGTTGACAATATAATAAGTTATACTTATATACGCCATTTTGTTATATGCCACTTTTATACTGTTCAAAGAGGTAGTTTGTTCGTTTTAAAATACATGATGTTATTTATGAATAATTATAAATATTTACATTAAAATCTTATTCGAATAAATAAACATAATAGAATAAAATGTAATTTTAATATAATAAATAAAATTCTTATTTTCTCCAATAAATATTTCAAATTCAGACAGTACAAAATATTTTTTTATATTATGACGGTTTTAGATTAATATCGAATATTATGCTATAAACGGAGATACATTAACGAATATATTATTTCTAAATATATAAATAATTTTTCCCTGGAATATGTTCGGTTTAAAATTTTAATATAATGCCGCCATTTTCTTCCTACTTTAATACAAATCATAGTTTCAAGCGAAACTAAATGAGAATAAATGAGATTAAAATGTGATTTGAATCAATATTATTTAAAATCACATATTAATTTAAATTCTAGTTTGATATAGCGAAAACTTGACTTTACGTTCTAGTTACGTAGCAAAATTGGCCTAAGTCTCTTTTAAAACAACAACAAAATATGTTTAGTAAAAATGTATGAAATACATACATTTTTGAAGTAAAACTTGTTTAGGCGTGTCTGAGGGGTAAGATATAACAATTATTTACTTTAGATCGTTCCATTATATTACATCATAAATTTTCCAATACATTGGAAAAATGAGTGACGCAGAAGTGAGAGTCAAATTTACTAATACTAAAAATAATAATAATTATAATTCATAAAAATATATATTTATTATTAATAATTTTACAATTATCATTTATAAAAATATATATTGATTTATAATAATTATTACTTATATAAAAATGTTTATATTTAGATTTGTTTTAATATAATTCTGGTATCTGCCGCAGCGCCAAAGAAGTTTTACTTCGATCGCGCGTAAACTTTATACGCACTCATTTTTTTTAACAAACATCTGCATTTACAATATGTTTATTAAAAACACATGAAAACACGCCTTAGACCATTTTGGCGTTAACATCAGTATTATACATAACAATGACAAAAAAAAACATAATAATAATACATAATAAAAAATAATTAAAATAGTAAGATATCAACTTACGTTAGTTTAATTAAGCTCACAAATTTGGTATGGCTTGACCTCTTTGATTTGAAGTCGGATAGAAATGAGCCTTTTTGGATTTATCGCGGATTTATTTCGATTTTTGATTCTCGACGTTCCCAATACTTTACATAGAAATTAAAAATCAATTATTTAAATCATTAAAATGTTTAAAATTTAAATTAACAAAAATTGTAACGTACTTCGTTGTCATTTTTCTATTTCTTACAAATCATTGTATCACTTTGTAGTTAGACACCCATCTGTAAATACTGTACAATAACTTTTGAGACGTCCAAAGCCTTCACCATATCCATGTTTTGGAACCAAAAATAAAAAAATAGATTCACGTTAAAATCCGAAAAGATATTATATTTAAAACGCATAAATCTAAGAAAACATTAGGAGTCACGGTTATTCCTCCCATAAGCTCTTGCTTTATCCAAGAACGTGTCTATTTCCCACACTCTAGAAGACACATTAGATTCACCGCTCATAATGACGTGCACTTTCACTGTGTCGTTATATTCCAAATTTTTCAGTAACTAAAAAAAAACAAAATAATGTTAGGATAATTGAGAAAAATTCACTTAAAAGGCATCTAATTGATAACGTGAGCTGTTTTTTTTTACAATTTAGACTCCTTTGGTGAGATTAAGTGAGATTTGGTGAGACAGTTGTTAAAAGACTATGTTTATTTTTATAAAGTATAAAATATAATAATATGTATTGCAACTCTCAGGTATTTTTTGAGCAAGCAAAATAGGACACTTAAAAAAAATTATTAAAAAAAAATAATTTATTTCATGTTATCTGTGTAATATATATTTTCTTTTAAAGTTGACTTGAGATTTTCAATTATGCTCCTTAGTTTAAATTACATTTCATGAGATTTTAGGGAAAATAATACTGACTTGATGTCGAATAGATTTGCTAGCTATCGATATTTAATTCAATATGTATTAAATCGATATTTTTTAATTACTAGCGACACACCATCGCTTCGCTCGGGATCGTCCCTAGGTACGTATTAACGGTTAGTATGAAATACGAATCTTTGAATTTCTCTGCTTTTCTATACTATAACATGCATGTATTATACATATAAACCTTTCTCTTGAATCACTCTATCTATTAAAAAAACCGCATCAAAATCCGTTGCGTAGTTTTAAAGATCTAAGCATACATAGAGACCGACAGACAGCGGGAAGCGACTTTGTTTTATACTATGTAGTGATTATTAAGGATCTTGAACAGAAGTATATTATGTAAGTCGCTAGTAAATTATAAATTTAAATATAAAACAAAATATATGCAAATGATAAGAAACAACTTACTTTAGGCGATAAGAGAAAGTATTGACAATGGTGCACTTCACTGGACACTCTCATCAGCAATTCTACAAAACTTCGTTCGTTTTTCGCGTCCATGCCTTGATTGATCTCATCGAGGCACCTGAAATTTATAATAATAATTTGATTTGATTGACGACACGTTTTGTTCAGTTTGTAGTGACCATACATGCTGTGCCAGCGGTCGCGGGTTCGAGTCCCGCTGGGGGCATTCATTTATATGATGAAGACAAAATTTTGTACTCCAGTCATGGGTGTTTTTAACGTAGTAGACTGTATGTGGGGCATTTCACGCCAAATCGGACGGTTTCTAAATTTTATATTTTTGATTTTCAAATTTTTTTTTTTTTTGGTATTTTTAGTACCCATTAAAAGAGGCTTCCTGGTAAATTTTAAGATATTTTTTCATTACTGGTTCAAAAAATATAGAATTTTCAAAAAAACGCTCTTTTTTTTGCTCATAACTTTCTTAATTATGGTCGAATTTTTTTTTTTTTTAAATTTTGTATTTAAATAACCTTTACAAAAAAAAAACGCAGAAAATTGTAATTATAGAAGGCCCACTACCGGGGACCGGGGTTAAGAGTTGCATGATAGATAGAAGTTTAAATTATGAAATAAAAAAAAAAACGAAAACTTTCTTAATTATGGTCGAATTTTTTTTTTTTTAAATTTTGTATTTAAATAACCTTTACAAAAAAAAAACGCAGAAAATTGTAATTATAGAAGGCCCACTACCGGGGACCGGGGTTAAGAGTTGCATGATAGATAGAAGTTTAAATTATGAAATAAAAAAAAAAACGAAATATACACGGTTTTAAAAACATGTTTCAAAAATCTCGATTAAAAAAAAAATTTTTTGTTTGAAATACCCCATAATCCATATAACTAAATCGAGTGATTATAAGAGTGTGGGTAGTTCAGCGCACCTGAAGGGCGCGGCGGCGACGGCCTGCAGCGCCAGCAGGTAGCAGGCAGTGGCGGCGGCGCGCTCGCCGCCCGACTGGCGCGCCGCGTCCAGCCGCTCCAGCGGCAGCCCCGCGCGGAACGACACCATTATGTTTATACCGTACTTGCTGATATCCTCCTGGAGGAACGATTAGTTTTGGACATGAAATATGAATATTACAATACAAAAACGAACAAACGTGGCAAGGCATAAACTTTAGCGAGCGCGTGTCCGATCACCCGGCGTGTTAATAAGTAGACGACTTACGGACGGGGGAAAAACGATCTTGCCTGAGTGCAGCGTCGACTGCGTAGCGTTATGCGTGCTATTGTGTTTCGATGAACGCTACAGATTATTGTTACGGCAGCCTTTCCATATCCGAGCTGTTACTGAGATTGTCTTAATAAAAAATCTCAGTAATCAAACTTGACCCGATTCGGAATTCGAATCCAAGACCTCAGCTCCATCATCTACAGGCGCACATGCTAGCCGCTAGACCACACAGGCAGTAAATTATTAACAGACAATTCAGTTTAACAAAATATGTATTACTCCAAGTCGTGACCTATTTGTGTAAAAAAATTCATCAAAACCAAATCAACCGTTTCAGAGTGAAGGAGTAACTAACATACACACACATATGTATATACAAACTTTCGCATTTGTAATAATAATCAATTTACATAAACTGCTATAAACGGGTGTTCTTTTTTTAATTTTAAATTATATATTTTTTATAAATTAATATAATGGTCTTTGTTAAATGTGGAAAATTTCAGTTCAATCTGAAGTGGATGAAATTCGCGTTCTAAGATTCCGTGACAAAGATACAAGTAATAGAGCTAATAAAATTGTGTTAAAAATAGCATGATTTGAATTACATATCACGTAATAATGTATATTCTGTTGAGAATCCTATATCTATACATATAATAAAATTGTAACTAAGCCGAATCTGTACATTAAATATTTTATGGAAAATCTTATTGAAATAAACATTATTATCGATACAGAGGCCGAATATACAGTTTTTAGAATTTTTGTCTGTCTGTTACCGCCTCACAGAAAAATCACTGGAGGGATTTTCATGAAATTTGGTATGGTGATAGCTGGTTATCCGGGTCAACATATAGAATACTTTTTACCGCGGAAAAATGTCTCATTTCTGAGAAAAAATACAAAAACTGTGTATAAAATATGTAAAACCTAAGAATTTGGTTTTTGGTCTACTGAACGCGGGCGGAGCCGCGGGCAATGCTAGTAAATAATTAAATACATTATATTTTTACGGATTATTCAGAAGGCTCAGCATAAAATATACTGTACGCGCGCAATATTGAGGGATGCGCCAGTTTGAGCATTCTTAACTAGGCACTAAACTGAACTTTTTGCCTATTTATGTCAGAGCTTGGAACCGGTCAAAAAAACGCGTTTGTGTGTATGCACGCACGTAAGAAGTTATACTTCTTTAGGGTGACAGAACAAAAATAACTAAAGATTTCATCCCGTATGTCACAGTTCTCTGTTTGTAAAATGAATGCAGCTAACTTCATCATGTCGCTTTTTGGCTGTCGGTGTGCGCGCGCTTCGTAAAAATTTTACTCTCAAATTTTTTTCCAATTGTTTCAAAAGAAGTATAACTTCAAATAAAACGGTTTATTGCGGTAATGGTAATTCATCGCTCGTTCTATAACCGGTTAATGAAAACGAAAGTTTTATTAAACCGATATAATAATGGTTAACGGTTACTGTGAGAGGAAGGTTGGATTTCGGTTTAGATACCAAAATAAACTAAGAAACGTACATGTATCCTTCAAAGATTCACTGAATGTAAACGCACAACTTATTTTAATCGATTAATTTTGATCATGGAACCTAAAATCGTCGAAAACCATTTTCCAGTTTTAACCGATTAAAGAACGTAACCGAAAAGCCTGGGGTCAAATCATAACCAGTTTAAAAATTGAACGATTTCCGAGACCCGATTTATATTATACAAACGAAAACAAATCTATCCCACGGGAACCGTACAGTTTTCCGGGATATAAAGTAGCCTATTTGTTATTCTGATGTATGAACTATATTATTATTAAGTTTCATTAAAATTCAATCAGTAGTTTTTGTGTACTAAGCTGTATAAGTTACTATAGTTTTTTAACTATCCCATGGTAACTTTTTGGGATGAAAAGTATCTAAAATATTGACCGGGGATATAAGGTACTACCATTCTCAGCCCAAATCCTTTAGACCTATTAGTCTTACTTCTTTCCTACTAAAAACAATGGAAAAAGTAATCGATCAGCACATTAGAACAAGGTATCTTGTGGCTAGACCACTCTCCTGCAATCAACATGCTTACCAAAAGGGTAAATCAACAGAATCTGCCTTAGTAGCTCTGATCGACAGGGCAGAAAGGTCCCTAGAGGATAAGCAGAACGCTCTATGTGCGTTTCTGGACATTGAGGGGGCCTTTGACAACACACCTACGGCAACAATCCTGAAAGGATTAAATGCAAAAGGTGTTGATGTCACAACCACCAGATGGGTGGAATATATGCTCTCCAACCGGTGTGCGAAAGTTACGCTAAACGAACACTCGCACAACTTTTACACTACCAGAGGCTGTCCGCAAGGAGGAGTACTTTCACACCTATTATGGACACTAGCTGTAGACCTACTACTTGTAATCATGGCTGATCTCGACTACGATACACAAGGCTATGCAGATGACCTTGTTGTAGTAGTAAGAGGTCCCTGCCTTAACACAATTTCCACCAGGTTACAAGGGGCTCTCAACACCATCACAAGATGGTGTAGAGAAAATGAATTATCAATAAACCCTGATAAAACAGTTATTGTACCATTCACCAGGAAAAGGAAGTTTGAAAGGCTGACTGAACTCAAACTCAATGGCAAAACCCTTAACCTATCAAATGAGGTAAAGTACCTTGGAGTCACTATTGATCAAAAGTTTACCTGGAACTCTCACCTCAACATTATAAAAAAAGCCAAAATGGCCCTTTGGATATGTTGTCGAATGGCTGGAGCAAAGTGGGGTCTCAAACCCAAAATGGCTCTCTGGATGTACACCGCTGTGGTAAGGCCGATCATAACATACGCCTCAGTCGTATGGTGTAACAAAACCAAACAAAAGACAACTATAAGTAAACTAGACAGTGTGCAACGGATGGCATGTCTAATTATCACGGGAGCCTTTCATTCGGCACCAGGAGACGCTCTAAATGCTTTGTTGGACATAGCTCCGCTATATCTCCACGTGCAAAAAGAAGCTTAATCCTGCCTCTACAGGCTCTGTACACAATCGAATGTAAGGTTGCAATCGCAATATATAAACAAACTCAAAGAGTTGATATTCGAACATAAAACTCTAAAAATGCCAGTGGATGGCATGAGCACAGAGTTTAACTTCACAAAACAGTACCAAATTGATCTTCCCAACCGGGACATGTGGCTAAAAGACCAAGAGTCTCACAAAAAGGGCAGTCATGTTTGGTTTACAGACGGATCCAAGAAAGGATCTGATGTAGGGTGCGGTATCTATGGCCTTAAGCCTAGATTTAACATGAGTATCAATCTGGGCAAAGAGGCCACCATCTTTCAAGCAGAGGTCTTCGCCATTAACAAATGTGCTGAAGTCATCCTGGAAAGAAAGCTTAATAACCAAAATATCTACATCAACTCAGATAGCCAAGCAGCACTTTTGGCTATAGATTCTCTTGAGACCAACTCTAAGTTGGTCAAAGACTGTATGGATAATCTGAATGTCCTGGGCACATCCAACAGAGTTACCCTCAGATGGGTCCCGGGTCACTCAGGTATAGACGGGAATGAAAAGGCCGATGCCTTGGCAAGAAGGGGCGCTGAAACCCCAGAATTTGGCCCCGAGCCATTTTGTGGTATTGCCAAACAACATGTCTATTCAATTCTCAAAAACCACTGCAATCTCAAAGCACTTCAAGAGTGTCAATCCACTTCTGGACAAACACACTCTAAAGCGCTAATTAAGGGATATCGCAAAACCTTTACAAAAGAGTTGCTTCAAATCAACAAGTATAAAACCAGTGCGGTAACCAGAATACTTACTGGTCACTGCAAACTCAATAAACATATGTTTACCCTCGGCCTCAGTCAAACCGCAATGTGCAGACTATGCCATGAGACAGAGGAAACTGCTAAGCACATCCTCTGCTCGTGCGGTCCACTCATGCACCGCAGAAGTATCTATCTAAGGCAGCATATTATGCAACCAGAAGAGATACAGATGCTCCCCGCTCAGAAAATCTGGAAGTTCCTGCAGTCAACAGGACTAAGCGGAGAACTTTGAACTCATTATAAAGGGAGCTACAATGGACCAAAACTGGTCGACGTAGCTAGGGCCGACCTCGGCACCACACCCAACATAAATAATAATAAATAATAAAAAAAGGTACTACCATGCAAAATTTCATTTAAATCGGTCCAACAGTTTCGAAGATTAGCCCGTACAAACAGATAAACACATAGAGAAACAAAAAATTTGAAAAAATCTGGATTTGTTCTATTTCTCTTCTTACATCTCCGTCTCGGTTTTTACTTTTTAGCAATTTTTTTATGTACAGACATTTGACCTCTACAGTTTTATTATTACTCACTTCATTATCTCCTGTATCGAGCAGAACTTCTCCCACATATTTGAGTTCATCAAACATTCTACCAAAACTTTCACTTATCTTTCCCAACAAACTCTTCAAATTGTTCAACCAGTTCGGTCTGAAAATATAAAAATAGTTATTATTATTTACAAATTAAATAAAACAATGTTGTCGGGTGTTTTCACGGATTTAAATAAAAAACCGAAAATGTAGTTTTATTTAAAATGTCAAATATTCATAGAAATATAAGTATTATTATTTACAATTTATTTGTTCAAACACACATATATAAGTATTGAGATGTGTGAACAATGACAAAGATGTAAATAGTGGTAAGTAAAAGTTACAGCAATTCAAATGTTAAAATTTTCGGGAATTTTAGAAAGTTTAGAAGTTACAGTACTGTAATGTTAAGGAGTCACAAACATATACATATATACACACACATATACATTTACAGCAATAGTCCGATTACATGGTTTGTTATCATCGATCAAAAAGTACTAGAGAAGTACAGAATCTCATGAAAAAGTTCTCTTAAAACTATCACCAATTGTGTTTAGGTAATTATTCTATTTGAAATAAATATACTACAATGTAAATTGAACCTTAAATTCAATGCTTAAAGTTGTTTTCACAAAAAAAATTAAAAGCGCGCTCAAATGTTCCAATGAGCGCTCATTCGGTGAGGACATTTTTTATAGCGAATTGTGTATCTAGTACTTCTATGATCGTATTTGTTATAAAAGAAACTCATTAAAGCGCGATAATGAAACAAAACTCACTTTATTTCTTGAATTGATTTATTTAAAGTTTCAATTTTCCTATTTGTTTCTTCAATTTCAACGAGTTTTTTTTTCTTTTCACTTTCTCGATCTTCATAGTCCTTCACTGTCTGTAAGTTCATTTAAATAAAAATATATATATTACAGTATTCGGTATTTTTTTTATTTGTGTGGCTTTATATAAAAATGTATTAAATATAAAATGTATTATATACAAATATAATGATACCAAAAACATGCAAATAGAGACTAACTTAGTAAGACAATCATCGAAGTTAATTCATTAGTTTTAGACAACATTCTAAACATATAATAAATATATCAATATGTTTGGACATTACTTACACACAGCAGCATCTAGTTTCATGGTAAGCTACGAGGCTTATGTTATCGATACAAGATAGTTGATATACTACACATATATAACTTTAAATACATACATATTGTAAACATAACACCCATGACTGGAGTACAAGCATTCGTGTTCAGCACACATATGAATGCCCACAGCGGGACTCAAACCCGCGACCGCTGGCACAGCAAGTACAACTGTACAGTACAAACTTAGCCTAGTGTCGTCGCCTACATACATATTATGTCCGATAAAGGGTCGAAATAGAACAATGCGCGTGTGTGTAGTTTGCGTGTATGTGTGCCTGTGTATGTATATGAGTGTGTGTGTGTGTAAGAAAATCGAAACTAACCTGAAAGTTAACTTCTATAGAATCATATTCTCGCTTAACCTTACATTGCTCGGACGTCAAACCACTGATACGAGATGGGAGCGTTTCAAACTCCCGCTCGAATGGAAACTCCGGATCGTTTGGCAGTTTATTGTCACAATATTTCCGAATATGACGGAAATTTGCCATCTTTCTTCGATTTGCGTCATCCATTTTAGATTTAGATGCTCCTATAATATTCTGTTGAATTAACAATTACATTGTTATGGCATGGGGTCTCATCAGGAACAAATAAAAATTTAATTCAAATAAAAAAGTCATTAGAATTCATATTATTATTATGTTGATTTGGTAATTTAAGATTGTTTAAAATTAACAACCAATAATAAAAAAATTAAGTTCCAAAAAGGTATATTACCAAAGTTAGAAATTGTCAAAGTCACTGAAATTTGTTCAATTTTATAATAAATGTGAAAGTTTGTGAGTATGGATGTTTGTTACTCTTTCACGTCAGAACGGCTGAACGGATCTGGATGAAATTTCTCACAGAGATAGATTATACTCTGGAATAACTCATAGGCATTTTTATCCCGGAAAATTGTAATGTTCCCATAAGATACTTGTTTTTGTTTTCCTATATCATATTGGATACTTTAAACGTCCACCATTTTGGCGCACTTGGCGTGACGTCATAGTCTATGACAACATTGCAATGAATAAAATCAATATTTTTTTATGTAATTTCTATTTGATTAGGAAAATAATTATTAAAAAGTGCAAATATAGGTGGAAAATTCAAAGTAGTTGAAACGCACGCCATTGGTCAGACCGAATGTGTATGTCAAAGTATCGTATAAAGTATTATTTATCATAACAGAGCGATTAGCGATTTTGTCGCTTACAAATTGAGTCGTTATTTCTCTGTGTAGTATATCATACTGTGACGTCACGCCGACCGCGCGGAATGGCGGGCGTTTCAAGTATCCGTATCGGTATCATATTTAAAAAAAAAAGGTATATTTTTTACAATTATATAACGACTAACAGAACAAGCAGCTTCGCTCGCGCTAAAACTACAAAAAAATCTCTAAAACGGTAGTTTCAAACAAACTTCCATCCCATTTTAATGAATGATGATGATGATGAATTTCGAAAAATGCTAAAACACGTATTTAATTTTATTGAAGAGCATTAATAATTAATCAGAATTACTTGAAAGTTGTTTCAAGTAATTCTGATCATAAATATTTTTTTTAAATTGTATTATATCGTGTTTTTCCGTGGGAATAAAATGATCTCCCGCGGTAAAAAGTAGCCTATGTCACTCTCCAGCCCTCCAACTATTTCCACACAAAAAATCAAGCCAATCTGTCACTCCGTTTCGACGTGAAAGAAGGACAAACAAAAAACACACTTTCACATTTATAATATTAAGTATGGATAAAATATATAACAGAAGCAATACAAAATTTCACAACTATTTATATCGTTAGATAACTTCTGAACGAGCGCCAAAGCCGAGCGAAGTTCGCCCAGGTACTGGATATTTTTATAATATATAATATATTGTTTAATAATATGTTGTGACATTAACACATACCACCACCTAGTTCCATGGTAAGCTACGAGACTTGTGTTATGGATACCAGATAGTTGATACAATACACATATATAATCTTTAAATACATACATATTATAAATATAAACACCCATGACTGAAGTGCAAACATTCGTGCTCACCACACAAATGAATGCCCCTAGCGGGACTCGAACCGGTGACCGCTGGCACAGCAAGTAGGTTCACTACAAACTGAGCCGAACGTGTCGTCGAATAATATTAATATGAATAGCCTTACCTCAAGCTCATTGATTTCTCTCTCGCACTCTTTCACTTTCCCTTCGCATATAACGTATTCTTGATTAACAGCATGAATACGTTTCTAAAAATTTAAAACAAAAAGTATATTTTAATTTTCATCAAATTAATTTTTCTAGATATAGAAACAAAAAAATCGGCATTACAAATAATCAATTCTTAAAAAATTAAAAATACAAATCTATATAATAAACATAATTATTTGGTAATAGGATAATGTCTAAATATAAACATTGTGTCGGGTCGTCGTTTCAGCCTATTGCTGTCTCATTCTAGCACGACCCATCCCCATAACGTTGTCTCGCTCAAGCACGATTTAATAATTTCATATTATACTCATGCTCTAGAGATAGAATATGATAATACCACTGTCTCGTTCTAAACTATTACCAATTCAGCTACCAAGACACCATAACGCACCGAAGACGCGTGAAGACTTTTTTGCTCTTTTTTACACGCCCTATCCTCATATCGTTGTTTCGCTCTAGCACGTAACATCCTCATATTCACAACTTTATTCCGACGTTTCTTGCTATATCGTTTTAAAGCTACACGTGTACAGTCTAGAACCTGTAGCGGTAGGGAGCGACCATGTGTACCCTTGTTGCTGTCCCCTTCTAACACGCCCCTGCCCACATCGTCGTTTCACTCTAACTATCACGAGCTCAGGTACCAGAGCACCATAACATAACGCACCGAGAGCTCGTCGCAGCAGTGAGCGACCGGGTGTACACTTGTTGCTGTCTCTTTCTAATACGCCCCTGCCAATATCGTCGTCTCACTCTAACTATTACGAGCTCGGATACTAGGGCACCATAACTCACCGAGAGCTCTTGGCGGCTGAGCGCGGCCGCGTGCAGATCTCTCACGTCCCGCAGCAGATCGGGCTGCGTCGCCAGCACCCGGCGCGTCGTTTCCGCCTGTTGCTGTCTCGCTATAGCACGCTCCATCTTCATATCCACGGCATCTATCTCACTCTCTTCTTTGAACCGCCTCTCCTCCACTTCGAGAGTTTTCGTGATACTTCTTAACTAATAGATTAAAAACACAATATCATTATTATTTTTAAACAAAATTAAACTTATGCAAATATACGAGAGAATTTAATTTAGAGATAGTTCGAATATTCTAATTGCTTAGTTTTACATAAATATGAAAAAAAATAAACTTTAAAAAACACGAAAAGATTATCTAATATATAAAATTTCCATGTCACAATGTTAGTTACCGTACTCCTCCGAAACGGCTTTACTGATTTTTACCAAATTTTATATGCGTATTCAGTAGGTCTGAGAATCGGCTACTATCTATTTTCCATACCCCTAAGTGATAAGGATGAGGGTGGTCCTCCAAGACCCCACCCCAGGGACGAACCCGAGCGGAGCGAGGGTGAGTCGCTAGTATTTTATAATATGTACATGGGATACTTGACATTTTATTTATTACAATTTTTTCAGATTATTTTGGCGTTTTATTTTGATTTTTTCTTACGTTTCCAATGCTTTACGGAAAACGTGGTCACAGAAGAACCTAAGGTTTTTAAAGCCTAAAAAGCAAAAATAATATTTTCTATTCAGATATTATATTGGTAGGATACTTGAGAAAAAAGGTAATAAATAGGTGTAAATAAATGCCTAGGTGTCATACAAGCGTCGATCAAAAAAATACTAGATACACAATCCCATACAAAAATTCTCTTAAAACTCTCACCAATTGTGTTTAGGTAATTATTCTAGTTGAAATAAATATACAACAATGTACAATTGAACTTTTTTTGTTTGAATTGAATTTTTTGTTTTCACAAAAAAAAGCGCGATCAAATGTTCAAATGAGCGCTCACTCGGCGAGGACATTTTTTGTCGCTGATTGTGTATCAAGTACTTTTTAGATCGATGCCATGATGATTTTGATGATGACCCAGTTAAGCCGTCGGATATACATGCTAGCTATTGATAGTTAGTTATTAGTTATATATATCAACTATTTGGTATCCATAACGCAATCCTCGTAGCTTACCATAGAACTATATGGTGTTGTGTGTTAATGTCCCAACATATTAATTTATTTGCTTAATGTTAATAGTTGAATTGACGATTAAATCGAATTTGTGTTATTTTTATTTACGTTTTATTTCTAGTTCCTAAAAATATGTTATTTTTAAACAGTATATAATACGAACCTTTTCAATATAATTGCGAATGGTCTCTTTAGAGGTGGTCTCTATACCAATTTTACTGGTCAGGTCATCTCTCTCACGCTTTATTCTGTCCAACTCTTGCGTCATAGTATTTTGTTCATTTACCAAATTGGTCAAACTGTAATTTAAATAAAACGTGTGTGTACTTATGCACGCACGTTACACTTCTTTGGCGTAATAGAACAAAAATAGCTAAAAATTTCATCCCGTATGTCACAACTCTGTTTGTAAAAGGAATGAAGCTATCTTCGTCATTACTCTCATATTTTTCCAAACGAGCCAAAAGAAGTATAACTTCAAAAATATTATAAATTATACTTAAAAACAATACAAAAATATTTTATAATGTTAAACGAGCAATTTATAATGGTTAATGAGCATTTTATAATGTTAAATATCGATAATTAAACAAAAAAAAAATGGTACAAAATTGGATAGATCATATATTTTGTATTATCAATAGTTAATAGTGACAGACTTATTTGACATATTTTAATGATTTTTCAAGTATATTATAAAATATATTGATAAAGAACATAAAATATCAGTAATAAAATTATCGTATTTCAGTTCGTAAGAGTAAAAAATTTAAAATAAATATTCGTGAGCCTGTAACTTTGTTGTTATTGATGATATGAAAAAGCTCTCAAATACTTTTTTATAGGATTTTAAACGTACTACAAATTTGCCGTTTAACATTTTTCTGTAACTCTTACAGTTTAGCTAAAAATGCAAAAAACCATAAATTTCAACTTTAAAGCTATATAACAAATAAAATATTGAAGATAGAAATTCGACTCAATGGAACTTTTTGTAGTAAATTTAATAGTAAAAACGGTCCATTCATTCATTTTTTTGAAAAATATTTTCGTCATAGTTTGCGGAACAAAAAAGTGTTAAAAATCATATTTTCCATACAATTTGTATGGGAAAACTTAAAGTTTGATGGAGATCCTCTTAGAATTGGAATTTTGAGCTCCGCTTTTAATAGGAGCTTTGTTGGGACATTTTCTAAGATATTTTGGGGTGAGAGCAAAGAAAAAAAAATATCGTCATTTTTTGGCGCACCCTAATATATATATATATATATATATATATATATATATATATATTAAAATAAAAAATAAAATATACTTACTTTTCTTCTATACTTATAATTTGCGCTTGGTTGCTTCCAAGTAGTTTCGCTGGACGTATTTCAGAAATATTTCTTGAATATAATCCACTATAGGCAGATTTTTTTACTCGCACTCTGCGTTGGTCTAGAAAATAGACAAAAAACTTTAAAATTTAACTTTAATGCGAGATCCGTGTCCAGCTGTGGGACGTTAAGGATAGAAAACAAAAATTAATATTGCACTTTCCACGCTGAAGATGGGACATACATACATATTAATATTACAAATGAATAAATAACTCTTGTCTCTTTCTCTGTCTGTTACCTTTTAATGCTCAATCCGCTGAGTCGATTTAGATGAAATTTGTTATAGAGAAACCTTGAGAAGTATATAGGATATTTTATATCCCGAAATGATCCTTTAAGGGGCAGAGGGGGTTTAAAAGTGGGTTGAAAGTTTATATTGGGAATCAATAATTTCTCAAGTATGTGATATACAACTCATCGTGCCTCTGTATGTATGCCTTTGTATATAGGTGTAGAAGTATGAAACTGGAATTTCCTTATAGATGGTACTAGTCATCAGCTTAAGGACCGCTTCTGCAGCATCATCATCTCCTTCTAACAGCTGACGAAGATTTTCAATACACAACAACCCAAATTCTATACTCCGGTATATTTTTCTATAACCTTAAACATGTCGAGTTTTGTGCCTACGACACAAAACTCGACATGTTTAAGGTTACAACACAAAACTCGACATGTGTAAGGTGCGGATAGCATTGGTTTTCTGTTATCATTTAAAGAAAACTGCCGCAGAATCGCATCTAATGCTTGTCGAAGCCTTCGGTGAACATGCTCTTGGTAAAACGCAGTGTTTTGAGTGGTTCAAAAAATTCAAAAGTGGTAATTTTGACATGAGAAACGAAGAGCGTGGAAAACCAACGAAAAAGTTCGCAGACAACGAATTGCAAGCTTTATTGAATGAAGATGATACTCAAACTCAACAAACAAGAACACGCGGATCAATTGAATGTGACGCAGAAAGCAGTATTTGTTGTTATTCGTTTGAAAGCTATGGGAAAGATTCAGAAAGTAGGAAAATGGGTTCCGCATGAACTGAATGAAAATGAAAGGCAGCAAGAAAATTAAAAAACCACTTGTGAAATGCTGCTTGACAGATACAAAAGAAAGTCATTTCTCCATCGAATCGTAACAGGTGATGAAAATGGATATATTTCGAGAATCCTAAACGTCATAAATCTTGGGTGAATCCAGGCGAACCATCGACATCCACTGCAAGACCAAATTGCTTTGGAAAGAAGACAATGCTCTGTGTTTGGTGGGATCAGAAGGGTATAATCTATTATGAGCTGTTAAAACCTGGGGAAACCGTTACCACTGATCGCTACCAAAAGCAAATGACCGATTTAAATCGAGCATTACGTGAAAAACGACCGGAATATGAAAAAAGACAACACAATATCATTTTGCTCCATGACAATGCCCCATCACACACAGCAAAACGGATCAGGGAAACGATCGAGGCGTTCAGTGGGGATATCTTACCGCATGCGGCTTATTCTCCAGACTTGGCCCCGTCCGATTATCATCTATTCGTTTCACTGGGACAAGCTCTCGCTGAACAACGCTTCAATTCGTATGAAAATGTGTGAAAATGGCTTGATAACTGGTTCGCTTCAAAAGAAGAACTGTTTTTTTGGCGTGGCATTCATAAATTGCCGGAGAGGTGGGAAAAATGCATACATAGCAATGGAAATTATTTTGAATAAAATATGTCTTATCATTTTCAAACAACAGTCTTGTAATTTTTACAAAAAAAATCCGGTTTCATACTTCTAGACATAGTATATAGTGCATCACAGACACAGACGTGCTATATATATATCTATACATATAATAAAATTGTAACTAAGCTGAATATGTGCATTAGTTATTTTTTGGAAAATCTTATTGAAATAAACATTATTATCGATACAGAGGCCGAATCTATAGTTTTTAGAATTTTTGTCTGTCTGTTTGTTCCCGCATCACAGAAAAATCACGGGAGGGATTTTGATGATATTTGGTATGGTGATGGCTGGTTATCCGGGTCAACATATAGGATACTTTTTACCGTGGGAAAATGTCTCATTTCTGAGAAAAAATACAAAAACTGTAATGTAAGAGTATACTAATATGTAAAACCTAAGAATTTTTTTTGGTCATCTGAACGCGGGCTGAGCCTTTGGCAATGCTAGTAATATATATAGCACCAACCAACAGCTCAAAATGGCACATTCGCTAACTAAACAGATAATTTAATTTTGACAATATTTGGGGGATTGGCACTGTATGTCGTAGTACAAGTCTTCTAGTTATGCAACAGAGACAACCGTATTATTTGAATTGATAGTTTAAATTGTTTGTTTCAAATTGTACTGCACTATGTGCTTTTCAATTACAATATGTATGTATTTTTGTGAAATAAAGTATTATTATTATTTACTAGCGTCTCACCCTCGTTTCGCTCAAGTTCGTCCCTAGGTACGTTTTAATTTTGTTGAGCGGAACCCTAATTCTATTTCTAAAACAAAAGTAGCCTATGCCCCGTCAAAATCAGTTCAGCCGTTTCTGAGATTATCCGGAACAAACAGACAGACAAAAATTTAAAAATTTGTGTTTTTATTATAAATACCATATACAATTCCATACGCACTTAGTAAAACGCTGTTATTTCGACATTACAAACAGACACTTTAATTTTATTTATTTGTATAGATGTATAGATTCATTCAGTGGGAACTCACCCGTGAAATACAGCTGGAGGTCGGCGGGCAGGCGCTCCATGTTGGCGGCGGCGTGCGCGTCGCCCAGCGGCACGCGGTGCACGCCGTACAGCGCGCACAGGTACTGCTTGAGCGCGTGCGGCGCCTCGAACGTGTCCGACAGGTACCGCGAGAACCCGTACCGTCTGCGGAATCACTCACTACTTATATATGTCAATAAATATATTGGGACATTCATACACACCACCATCTAGTTCCGTGGTAAGCTACGTGGCTTGTGTTATGGATACCAGGTAGTTGTAGTTGATACACTACACATACATAACATATTATAAATACAAACACTCATGACTTGAGTACAAACATTCATGCTCATCACACAAATGAATGCTCCCAGCGGAACTCGAACCCGCGAACGCTGGTACAATAAGTAGGGTCACTACAAACTAAACCAAACCTGTCGTCAAATTGTTTATATACATAGTAGCGACTCACCCTCGCTTCGCTGGGGTTCGTCCCTAGCTTGATTCCCCATACAAACTTTCATCCCCATTTTCAGACCCTTAAGGGACGATTTCAGGAATAGAAGGTCTCATATATCTCTTCATACCAAATTTCATCTAAATTGGTTAAATAGATCCTACAACGTCACAAACTCACAAACTTTACCTCTTTATAATATTAGTATAGATACATAGTAGGGTATGCCCGAAAGAAAAACTTTTTTTTTTACTTATAATGAAAATATCGTCTAAGATGACGAAAAAAAATTGTAGTAAAGTTTGAGCTCTTAGTATTAATACTAAAAGAGTCTACCCACTACACCGTCTCATACCATGACCGTGCTATGAACGTATCAGGCACGGAAACAGGCATGGCACGGACTACAATGCCCACTAGAACGTATCATGCCCGTACATCGCGGTTTCAGTGCTGCGTACACTTACCAATGCGCCGGCCGCGACGCTCCGCGCGCGGCACGCGGAGGCGCCGGTCGGTGACGGAGCGATCTAGTGGGCAGTCTCATACTTTTCCATAAAAACAATATTATTTTGCCTGATACGGTCCTAGCACGGTCATGGTATGGAGACGGTGTAGTAGGCGGGCTCCTTTATATATACGTAGTAGGGTGTGCCAAAAAAGCCTACAATATTTTAAGATATGAATATCTAATAGGTAAATATTATGTATTTTACGTATCGAAATATATTCGATTTGCTTTGCATCGGCTGGCACCGACTTGGAAACTATCTGGTTAGGTATCTATTCTAAATGAAAACCCCTGTTTAGTTATTTTTTTTCATTTTAGTGCCTGGAAATCGGTTTTAATTTTTTGTTAAAAAGTTTTTATATTACTTACAATATGTGTTACTCCATAGTATTTCTGTCTAAATGACATCCAAATCAATCCAGCCATTTCTTCATGATTAGTAATAATAATAATAAATTCTTTATGGACATAGTTTTATACATACACAGGTGATAAAAATTTCCCTAGCGCCTGCGCTCGATAAAAACTGTGTTGCAGGAGCCAGTGTCATCTCCATACAATTAATGACAGGTTTATGCCAACACAATGATAATAGTACAAACAACAAGTAACATTTAAAAAAAATAGCACAAATAAAAATTAATAAATAACAAAAATTAAAAAATGTATGCGTGTGGTGTGTGAGTCACAAATATATACACATACAAGCGGTAACCGTTGGGATACAAACACGTACCTAATGTTGTCTATGGGCGGCGAATGCAGGTTTGTATCGGAGGACACTTTGCAAACATTCACTCGTTTAAGCCCCTTATCTGATCTCACAATTCTTAGGAACTTCTCCATATCATTTGAATCTTCGAAGGAAAAAGCCGTCAGATCTCTATAGGGCACTGTGTTCTCTAAGAATTTCGCGTAGTACTCGTCCTCAAAGCTGATCTGCGTTATTATCAATATATTATTAATGTTTCAGTAAAAATAATAATAATAACTTTTTTTTAAACCAATTCCAAAATAAGAATTATTAAAACATGAAAAAAAGGATAATAACACACACATACACACACGCACATACAAAACCAAATTAAATTTGGTTGAATCATCGATCAAAAAGTACTAGATACACAATCAGCGACAAAAAAACGTCCTCACCGAATGAGCGCTCATTTGAACATTTGAGCGCGCTTTAAATATTTTTTTTGTGACAACAACTTTAAACAATTGCGTTTAATGTTCAATTTACAATGTTGTATATTTATTTCAACTAGAATAATTACTTAAACACAATTGGTGACCGTTTTAAGAGAACTTTTGCATGGGATTGTGTATCAAAAAGATCCATGGGTTATAAATATACCATCAGTTATTAGTAACAATTAAGCACCTCCAGTAGCATCGGCTCGTACACTGCATGTCTGAATAAGCCTCGATTCTCCCTCAACCATAGCAGAGCTTGGTACGTGTCATTGAATTGTTTTTCCAATAATTTCATCCGTATCACATTTCTGTTTTTAAGTTCGGCCAATCTGAAATAACAAACATATGTTAGTGGCGGACCTGCCACAATGCGTCAAGTTTAAATTGGAATGAAATAATATATATAATATACAGGTATTCCACATTAACTGATATAACGTACCCGAGCGAAGCGAGGGTGAGTCGCTAGTATAAGATAGTAAATAATTAAACGACACGTTTGGCTCAGTTTGTAGTGGCCCTAGTTGCTGTGCCAGCAGTCGCGGGTTTGGGTCCCGCTGGGAGCATTCATTTGTGTGATGAGCGCGAACGTTTGCTCTTCAATCATAGGTGTTTATATTTATAATATGTTATTTAAGTGTAGTGTATCAACTATCTGGTATTCATAACTCAAGCCTTGTGGCCTACCATAGAACTAAATGGTGAACATATTTATTTATTATTTATTTTAATTAATAAAAACTACTTACTGTGCTCTATAAGAACGTATTTTATCTGTGATATCAGAGTATGTCTTATTCATTTCTATAGATATTTTTTTCCTCTCTAATTCATGTCTGTGTTGGTGTAACTTTTCAATTTCTTTATTTTTCTGCTCCAATTTGACTTTTAAAGAAAATTCTGGAATAGAAAATGTTTAAAACTCAAGATAAGTGCGACAAAATTTTCAAAATAACGAGTTCCCAAAAAAAACTTTCAAAGTGATTCTGAAGAGGTCTAAAAGCTGTTCAAGAGCTAAATAAGATAAAATGTCAGACAAACGATTAAGGAATAATATATACAGATATCATAGAACTAAAAATGAAGCCAAACAATAATGCTTTAAAATCTATACATACAGATAAATAAAATTGAAGTGTCTATTTGTAATATCAAAATTACAGCTTTTACTAAATGCGTATGAAACTATATACGGCACTTATCTCCGAAAAGGCTAGACCGATTTTGACGACTTTCAATGGCAGATAGCTGATGTTATAAGGAGTAATTTAGGCTACTTTTATTTTGGAAAAAGAATCAGGATTCCGCGCAAGTAAATTAAAAACCATGAAATTGTGACTGTAATTCGCATACCTAGGGACGTACACGAGCAAAGCGGTGGTAAGTCCCTAATATTAATCATGTCAGTAACAACAGATTTCTTAGAATTTTAAGTTATTTCTTAGAAATTTTCCTGTAGGTGTTAATAAAATATATATTATTCTGATAAGTAAATAAATGTTAATAAATAAAAATAGTTAACTGATTTTATTATAATACAGAAAAAAAGCTAATATTATGCTATCTCCATTTCAAGTGGAAGAGAACCAATGCTTGAAACATACAAAAAAATACAGTATTATTTTTATTATATATATTTTCTTCTCAAAAATTGTAAATTAACAACTTAAACCATTTTAACTACTATCTAATATAAAATATTCCTTATTATATAACTATATATAATAAAAAAATCCATATTTTTTAAATTAAGCACACAAACTGTATAGTTTATTCGAGAATAGTGGTGACTTTGTATAGACTATACATTACGAGTATATATAGTACTAGCGGCTCACACTCGCTTCGCTCGGGTTCGTGTCGCTAGGTACGTTTTAAATAGATATAAATAGTTATTAGCCAGCGTTAGCCATATACATTTTAATTTTTTTATTCGTTAATTTATCAATTTTTTCTTTCATAAGAACCTTCTCCTGACAATAACAAACACAACAAAAAAATAGTTAAATCGGTCCAGCCGTTCACGCGTCATGGCGTGACCAAGGGAAATAAGGATTCATTTATATATATATATATATATATATATATATATATATATATATATATATATATATGAAATGAAATGAAATTTATTTATTTAGTATCAAATTCCTATAAGTATACAGTAAACAACAATGGCTACGATGATACTACAAAAGTATAAACTGCGTTGCAGATATCAAAGCCCGCCTCCGTACAATATTTAAACTATTTTATAATAACTAAAAAACAATAAGATGATGATGATGTATGTGTAAGTGTGTGTATGTGTGTGTATATGTGTGTGTGAATGCAAAATTCTTTAATAAACAATGGTCAAAAGTTCTTCAGTCTCGTCATACGTAATGGATTTAAGCCATGCTAAGCATACAGATTTGCAACGATAAGATGTGAGTGGATATATATTCAATAATTTATTGATTTTATTGTAGAGTAAACAGCTTAGATATGGGTAATGACGTTTTGCAACCGCGGTTCTTGCAGAATTAATTTGACATATAGCGTGGGATCTGCGTTTAGTACATAATATTCTAGGGTTATAAGGAAGCTCAGAGTGTTTTCGAAGAACAGTTTGTAAAACAAAAATTTTCCTTACGGATAATACATTACTAAGAGCGTATAAATCCGCTGTGGGGAAATAGATTGGCTTATTGAACATAACTTTAAAAACTGTTCTCTGGGCCCTTTCCAGTCTCAACATTAACGTTTTAGCATATATATATATATATATATATATATATATATATATATATATATATATATATATATAATATACACATACATATGTTAGCTGAGTTGTTGTGGATTGTATTACCATCCCCATATTTCTGTAAGAAGGCACGTCGATCTTGTCGATACTTTTCCAATTTAACACTCATTTTGTTCAACTCCTGTTCCCTGTTAAGGTTTTCGTTTTCCTTCTGCGCTAGACCAGCCTCTATTTCTTCGAACCTCCTCTCATCAGACGTAATTGAATCTTTATTGCGAATAATGTTTTTCCTCAAATCGTTAATTTTTTCAATCTAAAATAGGAAAAATCAAACATTTAAAAATTATCTAAAATTATTATCATATGCATAAATTTAATTATTTTATTCTCATTATTATCTATACTAATATTATAAAGAGGTAAAGTTTGTGAATTGAATTGTGAGTTTGTCACGTTGTAGGGGGTAATCTCTGGATCTACTGAACCGATTTAGATGAAATTTGGTAAGAAGATAGTTAGAGACCCTGGGAAGGATATAGGATACTTTTTATCCCGGAAATCGTCCCTTAAAGGGGTGAAAATGGGGACGAAATTTTGTATGGGGAATCAATCTAGGGACGCACTCGAGCGAAGCGAGAGTAAGTCGCTAGTTATCTATATAAATAACAATATATAAATTATCGATTGCTTTGACATTTTGATACATAATATGTACCAGTGTTTTTAAAATGGAGGATAATATCCATTTTTCTGAAACAAATAGCGGCACTAATGCGCATTAACTTCTAACATACATATTATATAGATACAATTATTACTCACAATTTCGTTTTTACGACCTTCCTCATCTTTGAGATTTTTATGTATATCATCCTTTTCTCTTTCCATCTTTCTCTTCTTATTCTCCCACTCTGCTATGGGTTTGCGTTTACTGTCAATTTCTGCTTTATACCCTTGTATTTCCTCTTCCAGATTATTGCACTCTATCCATCTCCTTTTTATTTCGCACAACTTTTGTCTAATATCCAATTCTTTCTTCTTCTCCATATTCTCTATCTTGGATTTATCTCTGAAATGAGCATATTTTTATTGTACAATTTACGCATAGCTTTAAGGGGATAAATGAATAAGCTATCAAACTGAATTGAACTGGGATAAATAATTGTAATGGTATTATAAATATGATGGATACAAATATACAATTTCTTTTATTTAAAAAATATATTATTTGACAGATTAAAATATAAGATAATTGGGTGAAACCTTCTGTTAGGACATTACCATAAAATATTTGCATATGGCAAAAGAATATCAATGAACAAAAACAGTCTACACTCTAGATCAGCGTTTCTCAATCTTTCTTCTGTTGAGCCTCCATGGATTATAAAAATATTTTCATGCCCCGACCTTTATTGTTTATTATTATAATAAAACACATTATTTTAACGTTTTTTATTTATTTTAATTTTAAGTTATACAAGGTAAACTCTCTCTACTGCCCCCAAAAGGCTCTCCCGATTGAGAACTCCTGCTCTAGATTGTTAAACAGATAATAAACTTGATATAATGATAGTATCATATTTCTTACTTTTCATTAAGTTTTATTAGTTCTTGAACCTTCTTTTCCATAATTTGCTTTCCCTGCACTAATTGCTCTAATTCTGTAGACATATCTATTAAATCATTTCTGATGCTCACACCGTTGAAGCCGGATATGGCAGATATGGTATTCTCCAGTAACTGCTTAGGATTTAAGTTTGAAAACTCTTGAACCCTAAGTTGAGGGAGCACTTGACACAAATTGCTTACCTAAAACAAAATTTTACATAATTTATTTATACACATAATAAAATTCTAAGTCGAATCTGTACATTAAATATTTTTAGGAAAATCTTACTGAAATAGTAATTATTATCGATACATAGGCCGAATCTATAGTTTTTGGATTTTTTTCTGTATGTCTTTCTGTCTGTCTGGGAATGCATCTAAGAACGCACGAGAAAATGACGCATGATATGATGGTATCTGACGGTATTATTATTTATTTATTATTATTTTTATAGCGGGAAAATATCTGATCTCTTAGAAATCTATACTGAGCGTTAAAACGCAACTTGTTATATAAATCTAAGCTATAGTGTTTTCATTATAGCATGGTGCGGCAGACACTTGTCAGTACAATATAATTTGGGAAGTTACAATATTCTATCACTTTTATCGATCCTATGTTACCTCGTAACTACTAAACAGATTACTATTTTAATAATTTACGCGTCGTCAGATTTGTCTTGATAACATGAATCTCATAGGGTATATAAATACCATTAAAAGTTAAAATGGGGATCTTAGGCGACAGTTCGTCATTAAAAAAATTTAATCTAGTTAACAGTAAAATATACTATAGGATAAGAAATCGTTAAATGAAACTAAAAATGTCTCACTGACCAAAACTAAAAATCTGTAAATAAAAAAGAAATTTACTAAAATAAAAAAATAACCGGACGCTAATAAGCCCACCACGACAAGGTGAACACACATCGGGTTGTATCTAGAAACGAACCTGCGTGAAGCGGGGCGTTTCGAATGCTATACAGCAAACATATGGAAGAGAGCTATTTATCTATAATCTATAATAATATTATAAAGAGGGAAAGTTTGTGATATTGTGAGTTTGTGACGTTGTAGGGGGTAATCTCTGGACCTACTGAACCGATTTTCAAAATTCTTTTACCAATAGAAAGCCACGTTCTTTCTGAGTGTCATAGGCTATATATAAACCCGAAGAATGAAAAGACTTTTTCATGGTAGTCGGATTTGCAAAGTAAGTCGGAGAAGAAACAGTCGAACGAAGACGTTTCTGACGAACGCTGTCTTAACAATGAGAGATATATGATTATGTTCTAGAGAAAAGTTGTAGAGCTTAATAATGCCTACAAAAAAGTCAGCGAAAGCATATGTCTAACTTTAATATTTAAGTCACAAAAAGTAGTTCTTTATATTAAAAAATAATTTAAATCGGTAGGTTTATTACTAGTATTATAAAGAGGTAAAGTTAGTGATATTGTTAGTTTGTGACGTTGTAGGGGGTAATCTCTGGATCTACTAAACCGATTTAGATGAAATTTGGTAAGAAGATAGTTTGAGATCCTGGGAAGAACATAGGATATATTTATCCCGGAAATGTATATATTATATATTTTTTATTTTTATTCGAATACATATTTATATATTTTTATCCCGGAATCATCTCTTAAGGGGATGAAAGTTTGTATGGGGAAGCAAGCTAGGGACGAACCCGAGCGAACCGAGGGTTAGTCGCTAGTGTTTTATAAACTACTAAAAAAATCCAAAAGTTCTTTAAGTTTCATTTAAAATTTGAAATATTCACGTTAATCTAATAAAATATTACAGTAACACAGATGTTATTCACGTACTTACTTGTATACCCATACTTTCCATACATCTCAGGAGTTCTTCCTTTGTAATTGTTTCTTGATCTTTCTTATATACAAACTTTTTCCTTGATCTATCTAAGAAAGTAGTTATGACCATGGTCTGCTTTTTCTTCTGATACAGCTCTATTTCGATCTTGGCTGCTTCTGCTCCTCTCTTAATGAAATTTGATATCTGGAATATAATGATAATTATAAAATTGATAACAAACATTGAAAAAAGAAAACGAAAAATGAATTTGAAAAAATCTAATTTTACAATTTTGACATTGTTATTTAGATTTTATATGTTTATATAATAAATATTTATAGAATATATATATGTATATATTTACATATTTTTCATTTTACTGTTTTGCACAGTTTAGTGAAAGTAATCGCTATCTATAGTCTACTCAAGCAAAACTCTATGCTATTTAGCATGGTACTGGAAATCTGTGCAAGTAAAGTATTAAGACGCGAAAAGTGCAATGAATAAGGTCATCTTAACCGAATACGTGTGATTTAAATAAAGGTGAAATAGTTTTTTTTATAATCTTTATTGCTTTTGGATTAAACCTAAGTATATTAATATTTTTTAATGTTTTTTTTAAAGAAAATAACTAAAACTAATAAAAAGTGCAAATATAGGTGGGAAATTCAAAGTAGTTGAAACGTCAAAGTCTATAACATAGCCAGTGTTGCCTATTTAAATTTAATTGCTAAATCGCCAAGCGCGCCAAAATGGACGCCGTTTAAAGAATCTGTATCGGTATGTTATTTTTAAAGATTTTCTTTATATTCAATTTCAGTTTTTTGGAGCTGAATATTTTTTTACAATTATATAAAGACTAGCAGTACCCGCGGCTTCGCTCGCGCTGAAACTACAAAAAAATCTCTAAAAAGATAGTTTCATATAAACTTTCATCCCCTACTTTACCCCCTTATAGGTTGAATTTCAAAAAACGCAAAATACTTATTTATTTTATTTTTTTGAAGAGCAATAATACCAAGTTTCAAGTAATTCTGATATAATTTTTTTTTATTGTATTTAAATTATTTATTTATTATTGTATTATAACGTGTAGTCCCGTGGGAATTAGATAATCTCCCGCTTTAAAAAGTAGCCTATGTCACTCTTCAGCCCTCCAACTATCTCCACACAAAAAATCACGCCATTATTTGTATGGTCAATTTGCTTTTTTAGATTGATGAGCGAATGCATGTTAAATATTGTTAATTATAAAATATTGTAATATTATGTAAGGACCTAAGGATCATAAGTAAGGTTGAAACAAGGGTGGTGCTTGTATTTTAAACCTACGAAGTAGCTAAACGATGTAAAGCCGACCGCATATTATAAGATTTTTTCTATCAGAAAATTTCTAACGCCCGCTGGTACCACCCGGGACACCTATCAGAAATTTCGCTCTAGCGAGTCTGACACTGAGTTTAGTCCATAACGTCTGCTCGACAACTCATGCGAATTTCATCAGTGAGCGGGGTCTGAGTACAAAATGTATAGCAAGCGCGATCTCCGACGATCTGATCACAAAAGTTCTAACGTACCAACTGCAACGGCAGCGTTCGGAACTTATCAGAAGCGGACGTCAGACACGTCAAATTTTGAAAGTATGGGGGTCTAGATCAAAATAAGCAGTGCCTTCAAGCGGGCGTCAGAAATTTTCGAACAATAAAAAAAATACTTATAATATGGGCCTAGCCTAAATCGTCACTTGAGTGATTATAGAATTAGTTGAAGATGTATTTTCCACTTCATGCGACACTTACGAAGTGGCCGATAATATAACTTTAAGTTTTGTTCTTGGCAAGTCTTAGGTTTAGTTTAGACTGATAAAATCACTATTAATTATTAAGGCTTTGGTCATAATGGTATGGAATATAACATCCTACAAATAACAACACAGGCCATATATTCAAAAGATTTGATACTTCTAGAAATTATTATCTAACTAATTAAAAAGAAATACATGGGGTGAAAAGTACACTGATAAACTGTCATAGAGATTAGAGGGTTCAAACAGTCAGACAATAATATTTTAATGTTGTATGAGCTTTAGTAGGCATAGGCAGTAGTAGTCCAGTGGTAACGCGCTCGCTTGGGAAACCGAGTGATGCGGGTTCAAATCCCGGGTCTCGCACCTCTGATATTTTCATGTGCGAATCATTTCCAACATGATTACCACTTGTCTTTCGGTGAAGGAAAACATCGCGAGGAAACCTGCATGTCTGAGAGAACCTAGCAAGTTTTCGAAAGACATGTGAAGTCCGCCAACCCTCACTCGCTGGCTAGCATGGTGCATTATGGCCTCGTATTGGAAGGCCCATGCCCAGCAGTGGGATGTTATAAAAGTTTGAATACGACGTATGAGCTTTGACGTCATATAAATAATAATTTGTAATCACAAACACCTATTTGAAGTACTGATTTGAAGGCTTATCTTTTAAAGTACAATCGATAGCATCATATATAGTAACTAGCAGAACTCGCGGCTTCGCTCGCGCTAAAACTACGAAAAATCTTTAAAAAGGTAGTTTCATACAAACTTTCATCCCCTATTTCACCGTCTTATAGGATGATTTTGGAAAAATGCTAAAACACGTATTTATTTGTATTGAAGAGCATTAATATTAACTTTCAAGTAATTCTGATCATAAATATTTTTTTGGATTGTATTATAACGTGTTTTACCGTGGAAGTTACATTATCTCCCGAGGTAAAAAGTAGCCTATGTCACTTTCCAGCCCTCCAACTATCTCTACACAAAAAATCACGCCATTCCGTTACTCCGTTTCGACGTGAAAGAAAGACAAACACACTTTCACATGTATAATATTAGTGTAACCATGATTTAAATGGAGCATTTTTATACCATGCAAAAAAGAATCTTCTTATATCATAGATGCCGATAGACGGTAACTAAGAGTTACTCTTAAATGTGATTTGACAGTTAGATGAAAACAAATATATTCTAAATGCGCGTGCTTGAAGCCATTAACAAGAGAATTGATTTGAAATATGTAAATCAAAAGTAAAACCTGCATGTCTGAGAGAACCCAAATTTTCGAAAGACATGTGAAGTCGGCCAACCCGCACTTGGTCACCGTGGTGGACTATGGTCTGACCCCCACGTGTTGAAAGGAGGTCCGTGCCCAGCAGTGGAACGTTAAAAAGAGCTGAATACATGTAAGTCAATTCAATTCTATTCTATATGTTCATCATTATCGCCTGTTAATTTTAAAAGTTGAATTCTATTATCTTTTTGGTCTTCCTTAGATCAATGTCATTTTTATTCTTCTTATCACTACTTATAATTTCATTATTTAGTTTAAAAAAAAACCGGACAAGTGGAGTCGGACTCGCCCACCGAAGGTTCCGTACAAATTTGTAGGAACTTAAATTTTCAACTTTTTTTTGGAATTTTTCCTTTATTTGTACTCTAAGACCTTGCTTTTTGCCAAATTTCGTGATTCTCGGTCAACGGGAACTACTATATAGGTTTTCGACCCAAAATCTATAGGGTACTTCCGGTTGACCTAGAATTGTCAATTTTGGTTAAAAGCAAGGTCTTACAGCACAAGTAAAGGGAAATTCCGGAAAACAAAAAATAGTTGAAAATTAAGGTAAATTTTTGTTCCTACAAGTTTTCGCGAAAATGTAAATTTGCCCATGTCTTTTTATCGTGTTGACTCAGGACCATGATTTTTATACACCTAATAAGGACTATAGACCTCATTATCTGGTATAAATTTCAACTTGCTAGGTCCACCTGTTCCTGAGAAAATCTGTGGTGACACAGGGTTAAGGACTAAGGGTTTCTTTTTTTACCTTTTAAGGTACAGAACCTTAATTACTCTCTTTGGCATAAATCAGTATTAGTTTCAGATTCTTCATTTATTTTTTTACAAGCTTTTTTATCATTTGTCACACATTTCAAAATCTTTACATTTTTATTGTTTGAATTTTCATCCTTTACATTTTTTTTAAATTGCATTAAATATTACAATTTGTATTTAATACTTTCTTAGTTTACCCGAATATTTGACATCTTAAATAAAACTCTTTTTTTTAGATTATTTTGTAGATTTATTTTGATTTTTGATCCCTGACATTTCGAATGCATTTCAGCTCACTGGAGAAACTTAAGGATTTAGATGTGTCAAAGACGTTATATACTTGTTACAGACAGTGCCTACTCACAATTTTACAAAAATGATTTCAAAATATTTAATGTGTAGATTCGGCTTAGTTACAATTTTTTTATATGTATGTTTAGATTATCATTTTAACTACATTGTTTTACAATGCACAAATAGCTCTGATAATTATAATTTATTTCTACTAACATTATAAAGTTAAAAAGTTTTTATTTTGTAGCCTATTTATCAAGGAAGAAAACAATCATGATATGAGAGAGCTAGTATATTCATGTATATAAATAAAAATTAAGCAGAGTATTTGCTTAATGAATATGATAGCTTTGTCATTCTTATGCTATAATTTTCTAAGTTTAATTTAAATGAAAAATTAATTCATTAAATGTTACTTTCCTCATTCCTGCTATCTACGAACAATTAGAAAATTGCTTACATGTTTGGTTTTGCTGATATCGCTAAGGTTTCCTCCAAGTCCCAAAATAATGGCACATATAATGGATGACTTTCCAGATCCATTAGGACCAATAATTACATTTAATGACTGTCCAGGAAAAAATTCTATTTCACTATATGTCCTGTAAATAATGTATAATTACGTAAAAAATATGCTTTTTGTAACATTTATTTATTTTTAATAAAATTATGTAAAATGATTTTACTTACATAAAGTTGTTGAGGGTTATCTTATATATAGATCCATTTATAAATTTTCCTATATTGTGCTTCAAATTATTCGACATTTTATAATTTTCAGTTTTTCAGCCAGTTTCATTACACTATTAAAAACTTTTAGGTATCTCTCTACCTTTGGCCTGCAATAACCACTAAAACAATTCTGCTAATGCTATTCATGTAGCTTTTTCTAAATATTATGTAGGTGCAAATTCATCCCTGCCAAAAAAAACTCTTCTGATTCTCGCGATCAAATTCTAAGCTTAGCATACAATAATGATTTATCACTGCTAAATTAATTTGACAGAAATTTATTAATCATCTAAAAAGGTTTTGTATAAAGCTAGTTTGAATAAAATCTTTGCAAATTTTTATTTGTTAAATGAATGAATAATTTGCAGAAACAAGCTTTGTAATTTTAAAAAATGTTTTCATACAAACGATATGTTACCTAAGATATGTACTTGTAACAGTAAAAATACAATAAATAAATATACAATACTTGATAAGACAAACTACACTCAGTAGGACATGACAGAAAATTATTTTTTGTGTTAACTTTGGGCGGGTGCCCAATTCCCAAACAAAAGTAAAAAAATATATTAACACTAGTGTCAAGATAATATGTTGCTAATAAGCTTACACTGATGTTTATTCTTTCATAATGCAGCTAAAGACGAACTTTTATAATTATTAAACATTTAGTGGACAATAAATTAACTCAACTTTTTCTATCACCACTGACCTTAATCAGAATTCAGATTCTCAGAACCAAACTGCAAATTCTAGCGCGAGCGCGTATTGAAATTATTTATTATCCTCAAACAGTGCTGCCAGCACTTAAAATTTTATCCCCCTAAAATAATTTCATAAACCCCTAAAATCCCCTAAGCGACAATTTGAAAAATATATGTTTTTATCTAATATATTTTTTTAATATTTTTTTTTAATTTTAAATGATTACAGGTAGCGTAAAAAACTTATTTATGGTTATTATTATAATAATTACATGTAACCATTTAAAAATAATAATAAATCCATAGATTCCATAGATAACTTAGAAAAAAATAAATAAAGGATATAATTTTTCCAAGTCTTTAACCGAAACTTTATGAATCCCTAAAAAGAGACTAAATATTTTTGCCCCCTAAAAATCCCCAGTGCCATTTTATTTCCCCTAAATTTGGGGGGGAAAGCCCCTAAGTTGACTATACTGGTTACCAGCACAAACTCAGAAATGTTACCAGTTATGGCATTATGCGGTTCACCACTAGATCACGGTAATGTTGTAAACGGTCGGAAATTGAGTTATAGCTACGCGCCTCGAGTTCGGTATACACTCGCTCTGTTTTCTAATTACAGAGCATAATGCCGCACTTTGGCGCACAAACACGAACAACGCGAAAAACACTTCTTATATTTTGATTGGTCACGCCGAAGCAATATTTTTTTGAAAAATTCAAAGTTGAACATTATGACGCATAATGCGCTTTAGTGCTGTAATTGAAAATAGTATTGGTGGTTAAATTAAGTAACTTTTATAATTGGATACAAAAATAAACATTTTATTCCTCCCGTAATTTCGCTAGCCAAAAAAGTATCGAGACATCTTATGTTTTAAAAATGAAAATTAATTAATTATATTAAAAATAAAATTAAAGTATTTTTAATTAAACTTTTTATCCGAATGCGGATTTTATATACTATTAAATTTAGCAATAAACCTTTTCTATATATATATATATATATATTTAAATCTCAAATTTATAAGGGTTACGTACCAGCGTAGCATCTCAATATAGTTTGTGCATACCACCCTTATAAATTTGAGATAGATAAGTAGATGAAATCAAAACAGAAAATACTGTAGGTGGGCAGCCCTGCCGCGTAGTTACTTACGTACAGACGGCTTATTCAAGGACAGGGCCGAGTTGTAATAGCGTGAATGGTTTTTATTTTTATTTTATTTAAAATTTAATTAAAATGACAAATTGAGCAGTGCCAGGATGCAAAGAAAATGGATATTATTTGTTCCTTAAAGAAAGTAAAGAAATTGTAGGCTAAAGCAATAAGACGACCAAAATTGACGAAATCACAATCTTTATATTTATATCATTTTGCCGAAAGTGATTTTAAAACTCTTAAAATCGTCTACAGGCATAATAATTTTATTTTTTTTATTTTTTATACTTTTTACGTCTTAATTACAGTTTCATACAAACTTTCATCCACCGTTTTAGATTATCTCTGATTAGGTACCTATCTATTCTAAATGAAAATCCCCGTTTAGTTATTTTTTACTTTTAAGTGCCTAGAAGTCATTTTTTATTTATTTTAAGTTTTTATTTTTTACATTTTTTGTGTAGATGTAATAAGCAGCTAATTTGTAAGAAGGAACTTTTTAAATAACATATTCGGTTAAGACATTTATTTAAAAATAATTATTTTTTGATTTTTTTTAAAAACCACTCAACCCTTGGACCATTTCGATAAAACTTAAATAGGACCACCTGGGAAGTATATATACTCTTTGAAACAAAAAAAAGAATTTTCCAAATTGGTTAATGCGTTTTCAAGTAATCGGTGAACATACATAAAAAAAGATTCCGACGAATTGAGAACCTCCCCTTTTTTAGAAGTCGGATGATAAATAGATCATACGTACAGCGTTCTTTCAAGAAATCTTACCCATTGGCTAAGAGCTATTTTGCTTAGGATTTATTCTTAAATAAATATTTTAATATCCAGATATTTATAAAGTAGTTTATTTCGATTTATAAAGTTTATAAGAATAAATTAGTATAAAACGGTAAAAACTGACACAATAAGTTTTCTTATAAGTTCTAAGCATGGCAATTGTATTGTAGATGACGCATACTTCTAAAAGAAGCGAATAGAAATAATAATTTTACAATTGTCTTGTTTAGGCGTAATTATTCCTTTCAAATATATTTAAAGTGTGTTAAGTATTTATTGCATGAGATTAAAGTAAAATGAGTTTTCTGGGGAAACTATTTGGTGGGAAAAAAGAGGAAAAAGGACCAACGACACATGAAGCTATACAAAAATTACGAGAGACTGAAGAATTGTTGATTAAAAAACAAGAATTTTTAGAAAGAAAAATCGAACTTGAAATACAGACTGCTAAAAAACATGGCACCAAAAATAAAAGAGGTAATTATACTTTTATAAAATATATCTTTTTCCCTATTTAGTCTCATGTTGATATACCTACCTTTTGGTTGATTTATTTTTTGTCAACAATAGTTATGCAAATGCACAAACTAATCATCTAACAACCTAATCATAATTTACACATTATCGACAATATTAATTACATAAATAGTTTGTTTGACTACAAGACTTGATACTTTAAAACAAAAATGTCATTTGTTATTGTGTTTCATAATATTATGCTCATTACCCAACAAAGACATTTACTGACTTGATCTGGAGAACAATAAACATATGTTTAAAGCATTTGTTATTAAAATGTACCTACCTCCAATACTTTCTCATCACACATTCTTAATTTAAACTACTGAGTATTATTAGTATGTAATTGATAGAATTGTAATGTAATTCTTAAACTATTAACAATAAAATTGAATTGAATAATTTTATATTTTTGTCAAAATCCTTTTATTTCTTCATAAGTCTTCTTTATAATGTAGTATTGTAATTTAATAGTGCAACTTGTATATGTGTTAATAATTCCTGGACAGTTTGAGGTTAAAAAGAAAAATAGTATTCAACAGTCTTATTTATATTTTATTTTTTCTTGGTTTAAATCATCCATACAAATATTATAAACTAGCGACTCACCCTCGCTTCACTCAGGTTCGTCCCTACATACATTTTAACATTTAATATAGATTTCTCAGAGATGAGATATTTTCCCGCAGTAAAAGGTATCCTACATGTTGACCAGGATAACCAGCTATCATCATACTAAATTTCATCAAAATCTATCCAGTGGTTTTCCTGTGATGCGGTAACAGACAGACAAACAAAAATTCTAAAAATTATAGATTCGGCCTCTATATCGATAATACAGTCTATTTCAATAAGATTTTCCAAAAAATAATTAATGTACATATTCAGCTTAGTTACAATTTGGAAAATCTTTTTGAAATAAACATTGTTAACGATGCAGAGGCCGAATCTATCGCCTATCCCTATTAACATTGTCGGATATGCAAATTTGTCATTTTCTTTTTATTTCACTAATCACTCTTAAAAAGTCTCTTCTTTTAGTAGCTGCAACAAAAAAATATTTTTTACGAGTAGTTTTTAAAATAGCCTCAAGTAATTTTTGTTAACCTAAATTGTACATTTAAAAAAATATCAACAATTCAAACTTTGACGCACTCTCCTGTAAAGTTGCCGATTTTCATATCCGACATTGTTAATAGGGATAGGCGCTATAGTCTTTTGGATTTTTGTCTGTCTGTCTGTTACCATATCACAGAAAAATCACTGCAGAGATTTTGATGAAATTTGGTATGGTGATAGCTGGTTATCCAGGTCAACATATACTTTTTACCACGGGAAAATGTCCCATTTCTGAGAAAAATTACAAAAACTGCAATGTAAGAGTATACTAATATGTAAAACATAAGAATTTGGTTTTTGGTCAACTGAACGTAGGCGGAGCCGCGGGCAATGCTAGTCTATACTAAATGTTAAAACCTAATAGGATGAACCTGAGTGGAGCGAGGGTGAGTCGCTAGCGACTTTTTTACTTAAAAAAATATGTAAAACTTTTAATAATAATAAAGGAAAAGAATCTCTTACTTATTACAACTACTATAAAAGTTATTGTAAATGTATAACTATAATAATTGTAATTTTAGCTGCAATTGCTGCATTGAAGCGCAAGAAGCGTTACGAGAAACAGCTTACCCAAATCGATGGAACTTTAACTCAAATTGAGGCTCAGAGGGAGGCCTTAGAAGGTGCAAACACCAATGCCCAGGTCCTCAACACTATGAGAGATGCAGCTAACGCTATGAAACTAGCCCATAAGGACATGTTAGTATATGATTTGTGTTTTTTACTAACCCCCGACGCAAAAACGACGGGGTGTTAAAAATTTGATGCTTCTGTGTGTCTGTTTGTTATCGTAGCTCCCGAACGGATGAACCGATTTTGATTTTGTTTTTTTTTTTGAAAGGTGCATTAGTCGGGAGTGTTCTAACTATGTTTAATGAAAACCGATCTAAGATGGTCGAGAGTTTTTTAAATTTTTAATTTATCATACTTATTCTATACTAATTGATATTCTCAGTTATGCATATAGAAAAGTGTTTATCCTAGTTTATTTAAATGGACTTGGGTAGTAGCAACATCTTTTGATAAATTCAGAGGGCTACCGCGCTTGAATTCGCTGTGAGTTCTAGAAATGTCAAATTACACTGAATGTTAACTGTCTGCGAGCTTTTCATCGCGGTTCTTCATGAATTAATCATGATTATTGTAAACATTGTGGCATTCCTGATTAATTATGGCAGACACGGTACATCACAATAAATCTTATTGGTTTAAAAGAAGAGTTAAGAAAAAGTCAATATTTTATTTATTTGGTTATTATATATCAATTGTTTAAAACAAAATCCTGATAAACTGGTGCAGCGTTAACAATTATTACAATTAACTTTATGTCCCTGCCGTACTAACAAATTCTTTTCAATGACAGCAATAGGACCTCACTCGCCAGTGGCGCCAACTGGTGCTACCAGATACGATAGCCCTCATTAAAGCTGGATGAGTAAAATATTTTGTAACTCACCAAAGCCTAACAACTTGTACAAACAGACATATATTCATTTTTTATTGTATAAATAATATTTTCTATCTTAACGAAGTTGTGGGTATAAGCTATTTGTACAATTTTTGTGTTTTATAATCCTTCTGGTCAGACTAGGTATTATAAATGAGAAAATTTGTTTGTGTGTTTGTTTGTTACTCATTAATGCTGAAACTGCTGGAAGGATGGAATTTACTATACAATATAGGTTATTGTCTGGAGTAACATATAGGCAACTAGCACTAAGATCGCTGGTGTACTACCAACATATCAATACATACAGTGCCGGATTCAACTTTAGCGCCGCGCCTGAGCACTAAATATCGCCACCCCATTATCGAATTTTTCATAAAATGGGCAGTTTCGATAAAGTTTAATTTCTATTAATTTTGATTTTTTATTTGAAAGCCAGTTTCCTTGTGGTGGTTCTTAGCTATGTTTGGTTAATATCGTTCCAGCAGTGTAAGAGTATCATCTCTTTTTCAAAATGATATAAGGCATTTTGGCGTACTATTACTCGTTTAAATGCTTCACGCGTGCCAGTGTAATCGTTAAATGACCATTAATATGCGTAGGGGTTTTTGTTAATTTATAATTATTTATACAGTGATGTAGACAAAGTCCACGATATAATGGACGATATCGCCGAACAGCACGACATATCGCGTGAGATCACGGATGCGATCAGTAACAATGTGGCCTTCGCTAATGATGTCGATGATGAAGAACTGGAGAAGGAGCTTGAGGAATTAGAACAGGTACGTGGTTTGAATATACCTTTATACTTTTTAAACGAGCAATTCTTGCAAATATATATATATATATATATATATATATATATATATATATATACCACCACACTGGCCAAGTGTGGGCGGACTGAGCATGTCTGCAGACAACTTGGTAGGTTCTCTCAAACATGCAGGTATCCTCACAATGTTTTCCTTTAATATAGGACAAGTGGTAATCATGTTGGAAATGATTAGCATATGAGAATATCAGAAGTGCGAGAATCCGAGATTTGGACCTGCTTCACTCGGATTCCCAAGGGAGCGTGCTACCACTGGACTACCACTGCCTGTATTTATATATACATACAATATAATTGATAAACTTTATATAACTTTTCAGGAGGAACTTGACAAGGAGATGATTGGTATCAATGTCCCAGCAGACAAGTTGCCCGATGTGCCCTCCACTGAGCCTGTGCCTGAAAAGTCCAAACCGAGCAAATCTCAAGGTATATATTCTTTTTTAAATTTCAAATTATAATCCATGTGTATGTATATAATTTCAAAATAAACTTTTTTAAAGTTCAAGATATCTATAGGTAACTTTTTTTTCAACACAAGCCTCACTTCTATCTGACTATATAGTTGTTCTGCGAACACTAGATCTCGCCAGCACATACTGCATTTTGGTAAACTATTCTGCTTATCACGCCGAAGATCCTCATCAGATCGTCACCAAATTTTTACGAGACCAACTTAAAGTTACTACCTTTCAAATAAAAAAAGAACCATCGAAATCGGATCTCATAAGGTGAAGATAACTAGTAGCCTTTTTTGCCCCTTTTAGGAGGAAGTGCCCCATCAATCAAAAATCCCCGATGACAAAAAAAATATATAGAGTCTTAAAACCTTTCGTCCAGACCGGTTTTAAAATACGACCTGTAGAGGAGTACGAACAAACTGACAGAGGATAGCAAATTTTGCCAGACTTGAAGTTGGCACGCGTCGCTCGCTCAGTCAATTAAATCTAGATAGTATGATAATTCATAATACTTTCTTAGATTTACGCGAAAATTTGATAGTTTTAATGGAACTATTTTGTTTTTTTGGTTTCTGTCTCGGTTTTATATTGATCTTTGGTTTGGTTTGAAGTTTTACAAAAAAAAAAACTTTGGTGCTATTTTTATTTTCTTTTAAATATCCACAGTACGCGATTTCTGTAATTAAGTAGTAATATTCGAGATGTCTAAAACCTCTCCCGTGACCATGATTGCTGTAAAGCATTCGAAACGTCGAGAACCAAAAATCAAAATAAATCCGCGAAAAATCCGATAAGACATTATTTTTTTTTATTCATATTCAATTTTTTTTTCAGAGGATGACAAAGACTTCGAGTTGCTTAAGTCCTGGGCAACATAGATTTATTTTTAAGCTGTCATGCGTGATATAATCTGCATTATTGAAAATCTGTCGAATTATTAAGAAAAAAAAGCTACTAACGCTGTTTTAATTCAAAATAATATGTATATTATCTCACTTTTTTTTATTTGATACAATTTAGTTTGCTGCGTCACACGCGTGGAAGTAAGCAATAACTTGTGAAGTATTTATATTTTATTCGTTTAACTTTGTATATATTTGTTTGAAATATAAGCATTAATATTAAAATGTATTTATTTTTTTGCATGTTTTTATTAATAACAATAAATTAATGATGTAAAATCGATTATCGAATCGATGTAATTAAACAAAATCGATTTAATTTTTTCATTTAATATTCAATTGTAGTGGAAACGTAAAGTTAATGTATATTGTGAAGTAAGTTAAAGCTCACAGCCTATAATTATAATAATTTAATAATTGATTTAATATGGGAAATATAAAAATGAGATATAGACTACATCGATCAAAAAAGTACTAGATATACAAACGCATGCAAGTTCTTTTAAAACTGTCAAAAATAGTGTTTAGGTAATTATTCTAGTTGAAATAAATATTCAACAATGTAAATTGAACCTTATACGCAATGCTTAAAGTTGTATGCAAAAAAAAATATTAAAAGTGCGCTCAAATGTTCAAATGAGCGCTCATTAGGTGAGGACATTTTTGTCGCTGATTGTGTGTCTGGTACTTTTTTTGATCGATGAATGACTGCATTAAAAATTAAATTAAAATCAGTCAATTTTCTTTATTTTAACTAAAATATCTTTGGTAATAGGTCATTTAAATAATAATACATTAGAAATTTTAAAAGTATTTTTTTAATAATTTATTGAAAAATATTCACAAGTGAATGAATGGTTTTGCTTATAAAATGAATGAATTCAATCTTAGGAACTAAAATGTTTACATTAAAAAAAATATTTTTTACTTTGATTTTTTTCTATTTAACCGGTATGATTTATTTAGTTTTAATTAACTTTTATTAAAGGCTTAGTAAATACGATTTTCTATTTTTTTGTTAATAACCAAGCGTACATCACTAGTATCAATATATGAGTATATTAAACTTTTGCTTATTCTATACATATATGCCTTAAATAATGGAATCCTTTAAAAATTAAAAACAAAACACCAAAATCTAATAAAATAAAAATAAAAAAGTAAATAAATCAAGGATTTCCATTTTAACGATAGTTTAAATATTGATAGTGTTTACAAGTCGGTTGTATACGTGTTAATTTAATTTCGATTTTATTATCATTAATATAAAGTCGAAATTATGTTAATGGATGTGTTGAATATTTGTATATAAATTGTTTTAGCAGGCTGACTGTGCACGTTATTTTAGAGGTTCGGGGTTCGATATTACACACACATATATATATATATATATATATATATATATATATATATATATATATATATTGGGATAGTGTCTTTTAGAGACAATAACGTCACGTGCAAAGAAAATAACGTTATGGTAACTTTAAATGCAAACTATAGAACATTAACACAGTATAAAAAACCATGCCATTAGGCGATCACACCTTGATTTTAACGATAATTATGTCAATTGCAAGGGTTGTCAAAAATATCCATTTTTATAGGCAAATTACAGCTATACCTGTCAACTCTAAACTGTTTCCCGACTGGCATATAAAAGTAAGTATGTCAATCGGGAGCATAGTCGTAGAGTATGGACTGACCAATACTCTCATGAAATTGACCGCTATCTAGAAAGAGAGAAAGCGAACGCGCGGCCAATGACTGTCTTATTCCGATTTGGATTTATAAATGGATTGTAAGATATTATATTATTGAAGATTATAATATTATAATTAAATGTAGATGGTTATAAATCTTTTTCATTAATCGTAATTTAATGAATACAGAAGAGTTCTGGCCGCACATTCGTTTTGTCTCTGTCTCGCCTCTCCGCCATTTTTAGCTCTCATGGCGTTTTCCAATTACAGCAATAAAGCGCACTATGCGGCGTAATGCTCAACTTCGAATGTTTCAACTACAACAACGCTCCGCACAATCGAGCACTATGAAAAGTACTGCTTTGGCGTGACCAACCACTAATAGCAGAAAATATAACAAGTGCTTTTTCGCGTTATTCGTGTTTCTACGGCAAAGTGCGGCATTAAACTCTGTAATTGAAAAACAGGGTTAGTTCACTCTCTATGTCTATTGTCGGGGACATCCTGCTTCTCCTTCGATTATTATACTGTGGTAGTGTTTTATTGAAACGGTTATGTGTATCGTTGAATGGCTTCGTATAATAAGAATCATGGCCCTCGATTTTGCTTCATTCAATTGGGTATCTATTAAATAAATATACATAAGATATTTATAGATAGTTTTATTTTAATCCCCTATCTCTATATAATAAAATTGAAATGCTGTTAGTAAGTGCATCAGTTAACTGGCTGGATTGATTTGGCTATTTTTTTAAATGTTTTTAATAATTTGAATAAAGTTTTAAGGGGAAAATGTTTTGAAAATGTTTTCTGGAGTGTCCAGAAATGGGGAGAAACATGTACTTCTATATCTATAAAATATTTTTATGACCTAAAAGATTATAAATATACTTAATGTTATTGGGGCAGAATGTTTATCGGGTCAGTTTTCAATATTGTTCAGATATTTTACTTTTAATCTAAGTACTTCAATAAAAATAAGTGCAGTTCTATCGCGATATTTTTGTGAGAGGGTTGCTATGATTTAGTACTCAAATTGCGCTTTTAAAATGTGGTTGGTCATGGGTCTATTGACATAAATCTTAGTTTAAATTATTAAAAATATATAAATAGAAGATATAAATATATGCTTCTTATATTACTTGAAAATGAACGTGTTTGTTTGTACTTTTATTTTTACTGTTATTGGCATACATACAGGTGGTTATGTCGACTCGCCTGCTAGAAAAACCAGTATTACCCCGTAAACCCAACACTAGAACCCACGTCTTAATGGGGCGTCGCAGGATCGCTTACGCACTCAACTACGACACCCCGACGGCAGGTCTTCCGAAGCAGACCACAACAACCATGGGGTTGCTCCCATGGTCCACTCTGCTATCAGAGATGTAACAGGTGCCCCCTCGCGGTTGTATGCGAAAGCGGTCCCGTGGCGTCCCACATGGCGGCAGGGGGGGGGGGGGAGTTGGGTTTTAGTGGGTATGCCGGTCTTATTAGCCGGAGAGTCTCCACATAACCACCCTGGGGGAAGTCGGGTGGTATCCGTAATAGGATTTCCCAACTATAAAAAAAAAGGTGCCCTAACCCCTAACACTTTTTTTTACATATACATACATTCACTCCTTTTTTAATATAGTGTCCGTAGGTCGTGGGACATATGTAGGTATAATGCAAATAGCGAGTCATCTCGGTTAGGATCTACACGGGCGAGTGTATGTAAACAACGTATGAGGCGTTTAATTATTAAATAATGTACCGGCAGTACTATCTAACCTAATCTGACCCAAATTTCTACATATCCTTGTATATTGGATAATTGTTATATAATTATACAAACTAATGTTTAACACCACGCAGATTGGAGTTCAAATGAAAATAATCCTTATTTACTCGTATTAAGGACTATATTTGTGGGAAAATTGTGAGTGTGTTTATTTTCTTGATTGGGATGCGCGGAAGAACGCTAACCTCGCGAGTTGAATTTCGATATATTTTGACTTTCCCTTGCGGGCATATTCTGATTGATTCCTATTAGTCAATACTAGTTGTTACTCCCTGCTTTTAAATCTTTTTAAAGTGTTTTAAAGTAAATTTTGTAACTGTTTCTTTTATGTTATATTCTATGAATGTATGTATGTATTTATGTAGTTCCATTAAGGCTTCATTAAAATAAAATATAACATTATATAATTTGTTTTCAGGATTAGCTTAATTTATATTTGACTAGCCTCTTACCCTCGCTTCGCTTGGGTCTAAGCCCAAGTCCCTTAGATTGAATTGTTTAGGAACGCATAGAGGACAAACATGCGAACATTGATTTTTATTTACATATGTACATATATAGAATTAGCGACTCACCTTCGTTTAGCTCGGGTTCGTCCTTAGGTAGGTTTTAACGGTTAGTATGGATATCCTATGGGAAGCATTTTTCCGGGATAAAAAGGCCTTTCATCCAGATCCGTTCAGCCGTTCTGGCTGAAAGGATCTGGATGAAAGGTTAAAAGGCTATGTTATTATAGGTTATAAGGATATGTATTGAGTAACAAACATCTATCCATTCAAACATTTGCATTTGTAATATTTATGGGATTACTGCGCTTAAGAAATAACGGACGAACAGATATTTCTCATATATCTATAGATTTAATTATCAGAATAATCCTGCACAATTATGTGTACTGCAACCCTACATTATATTAGGAGCCTATGAATTAACGCGCCCAGTTAACTTCACACTTTATACTAAATAACACGATGAAGATTTACACAATTGTAAGTACATAATATTATTATATCGGATTTTTACTGCAGTGGTTATATTATGTTGCCTCAAAAAAAATAATTTAATTTTAAAGTATATAATACGTCTAAGACGTAAGTAACGGTCGTGTCATTGGAAGTTCTGAAGTTTTCCTTCGTACACGTACCAACATACATAAACAATATATCTGTTTATAAAGCTCACGTAAATATTGTGTTGCATATAAGAAGGAAAACTAAAGAAAAATCTGTAAGTATCTTCATATTAATCTGTGAGGGAAATTGGAAAAATCTTTTTCGAGATAAGTTTATTTTGGAAGTTTCACAAGTGTTAGTGTTAAATGCCAGTTATAGCGTGGTGGATCCGTAGGTCACCAATTTGATTCCTGCATGAGGTGAATATGTGAATTTTCGTAGATATTTAATTTGTGATCTATTAATTTATAAAAAATAGTATAAATTATCTTTAACACAAAAATACGCTGCCAAATTGAGAATTCATCATTTAAGAAGTCAATTATATCAGTAATTAGGTACATAAAATATTATTGTTTATAAATATATACTAGCAGCTCACCCTCGCCTCGCTCGGGTTCGCCTCTGGGCGAACAAAAACAAATCTATCCTACGGGAACTGTACATTTTTCCGAGATAAAAAGTAGCCGCCTATTTGTTATTCTGATGTATGAACTATATTATGGGAGAGTTTCATAAAAATCCAGTCAGTCGTTTTTGTGAACTAAGCAGTAAGCTGTATAAGTTACTATAATGTTTTAACTATCCCACGGGAACTCTTTAATTTTCCGGGATGAAAAGTATCTAAAATGTCGACCGGGGATATAAGGTACCACTATGCAAAATTTTATCCAAATCGGTTCAACAGTTTCAGAGATTAGCCCGTACAAACAGACAGGGAAACAAAAAATTTGAAAAAAAACCGGAATTGTTCTATTTCTCCTCTCACATCCCCCTGACTCGGTTTTTAACAAAAAAATTCTATGTACAGTCATTCGACCTCTACAGTTTTATTATATGTATAGATATTTTTTATTTATAGATTAGTGTATCTAGATTCTTTTGTATTTGTAATATTATATAGTTACACGCAGCGTCAATTGTTGCTAAAAATTATAACTACATAGCCCATGTGTTACATGGAGTAACACATGGGCTAAAGTTAAAGTTTATCTATAAAATTATATTTTATCCAAATCCGTTCAGACGTCCTTTGTGAAGGCGTAACAAATACACATACAAGTTTTGACATTTATAATTAATAGCAGAATGTATTGTATTTTCCTCTTTTTAACGACCACTGCTGGGTGCTGCTCTTCACGATATTTTTCTTCACCGTAAGTGGTAATCATGTTGGAAATTATGTTAATGTGAAAATATTATCAGAGTTGTGAGACTCGGGATTTGAACCCGCTTCACTTAGTATCCCAAGCGAGCGTGTTTCCTTTGAACTACCACGCTACACGGCCTTATATAATATAATTAATAGTGGTATAATTACTAAATTGCAGGTAATCCTTCTGATCGCTGTGCAGCTAGCGTCAGCGACGGTAACTCTCGACAAGATTACAGAAAAAGTCCATGCAGGACTAAAAACTTTAAAGGAAAAAGCTGTAACAAAATTACACAAACTAAAAGAGGGCATAGATTTGAAGAAATTACACCAACTGGACGTGTTGCACCTACTACCGTACGCCCACAAACATTATGTACACGAACATTATTCGAAGAAAACACCACTTGTTGTGGACCAACATCAAATACAAAGGCTAAAACACTATTTCGAGCCTCATCATAAACCCGCGCCCGTACATTATCACCGTTTTGAACATTATGAACATATTTAGTTGTATTTTTAATTTAAACATAAGTGATCTAGAGAACGGGGTCTAAACATTTTTTATGGAAACTGATATTTACCATCCACCGCCATTTTTTTTTAAATATCGGCACACAATGAAACTGATATGTATGAAAGACTTATAAAAAAATAAAAGATACTCATATCAGTAAAAACGTTCTAGGCGTCTCGTTTCCCGGATATTTTGAGGCTAAGATTGTTTAATGAAAACTTTTATTTGAAGACACCGAAAACAGGAAAAAAACAAATCGTGACACTTTAAGACATCAAAAAAAAAAAATTGTTTATATGTATAAGTATTTTCTTATTATCTAACAATATAAGTATCCTTGGTGCCAAGACTTTATTAAAAAAAAATTGAAATCGCGAGAGGGTCGCAACACCCCGAAAGTTCTATGCGCTAAGAGAAAGTTTCAGAATCGGATTTACAGGATGCCAAAGAATGGATAATTTTAGATGTAATAAATTCAATTGGACTTATACAAGCACTTTTCAAAAACAAAGATAAAAGTATTATCCCGTTTTGAATATTTCTCAAACGAAGCTTTGAATATAATTTTTTTTAATGAGTTGGAAAAAATGTAGAGCTGGTATTTCTTTGTCGCTCTAGAACTTTCCAATTTTAAATCCGACCTTGGAACATCTTCGGTGTGATAAATTTTAGCGCAATCAATTCTTACATTGCCTTATTTGAATTTAATCTGTATTTATAGTATCTAAATATGCAAAAACGTATCTCGGTATCCAAAAGAACATTCTTACTTGACGACACGTGCTTTTAATGTGGCTTCTGGGCAAATCATTTTGAGTATTATATATCTTATACTTCTATATCGCTAGCATGTCTCTGCGGAAGTGAGACAGCAAGCAAATTCTATCTCTATTCTTACTACTAGACCAATTGTGCGTATTCGAATTTATAATATCTCGAATACCAATATATGTAAGTACTAAATATGTATGTAGTATTAAGTAAATGATATTTAAATGTATTTAGCAATAAACGTCGTTTTCTCCATTTTACACGACATTGGCGAACTAATATGTGCTCAACTGGCACGTTTTAAAGCCATTTACAAGAGTATTGAATTGAACAATAAATGAGTGAATGAAAAAACAGCGTATATTGGTATTAGACCTGAAATTACTTTATTAGTTTATATTAAAAAATATCTATTAGTATACTTCATCATATGCAAATGCCAAAGTTTTTGTTCTTTGTATTGTAATTTTAACTCGTTAGTACAAAATGAATGTTGCGAATATTTTATGATTTTAATAAAAGGATTTATATATAAAACGATTTTTATTATATGTGCCTAAAACATTTATAGATTCACCTATGTTATTTACTGCTTGTGCTGGTCGTGTTCATGTAAGTTAATTTATAATATCAAGTATTTTCTATAGACGTAGAGAAATCAAACGTGCGGCCAATACCTGTCTTTTATTCCAATTTGAATTCATAAATTGAATGTAAAAAATTTATAATATTATTGAAAATTACAATATAATAACGGAATGTAAAATGGTTATAAATATCTATCTTCATTAATCGTATTTCAAAGTAACGCGCCTGTCCGCCATTTTTAGCTGACCCCTGGCAAAGAAACAATCAGTCCAATCGTTGTCTATGGTATTTTCGTGCTTTATACCCGACGAAAAAACAGAGGAGGTTTTTAAGTCGACTCGTAACTTTCTTAATGTATGACCATGCACAACTTTTTACAGAGTAGTCCGATTTTGATAATTCTTTTTATTAGATGCACTAAAAAGTTGATGATGAAAACTTGATAAGTGATTGTTTGTTTGGAGCCGATTCAAAATTATTCAGGTAGATACTTATTCGTTTATCTTTTGGGTGTTGTTGGAATGAGGCTAATCAAACATATCAGTAGAATAAGTCATATGTACCTAATAGTTGTAATATAATATGTAAAATAATATGAATTTGATATCATTTTTTTCGATTTACAAAATAATTAAGCATATATGTATATAATATGTGTTATATTTTGAATAATATAATAATTATTATATAATTAACTAAACAAATAATACATTTATTACAATATCACTTCACTGGCCAACACTCAAATTAAGTAACTTGTCGAGAACGTCATCAGAATTATTTTTATATTCATCTAAGCCATCCTGGAAATCGCCAAAATCATCCTTCGTGTCAACAAGCCCTAGTTCCGTCAACAATGTCAAGTTGTCACTGTCAGATTTGACATTAGAGCTTTCACTTTCGATGTTAACTGTCAAATCTGGCAATAATTGTTCCGCGGAGTCAGTTTCGTCTTTATCTTTATTTTGCCTTCGATTCAAGACCTTGGACTCCTTATCGTCGTCCGACAAGTCGTGATATTCACAAATCTCTTTTCCATATTCAACATCGTCATCGTCTTCTTGATTATCCTGGAAACACAATTAAATAATGTTTTTTTTTCTTTTCTTTCAAACATTCGAAAGTCTTCAAAAAGTTAATATCTAATTCTAGTATAGATAAATAATTTAAGTTTATCCCCTCCAGGTAAATTTCTAAGAAAAGTAATTAATTAAAATTCTTAGAAATCTATTGTTAACTGACACCTCCGGGTGTCCGCGGTCGTGGAGGGATTATGTTAACCTTTAAAAGGATTATTTACATAATAAAAACTAAAGAAAATGAATATTAATAATGGATAGTCCTGATGGGCAATTCGAAGTAAATTTTACCGTTAAAGTCACAATTTAGTCTTAGTCTGTGGAAAATATTTAATCCAATGCAATGCTGCACTTGAATATGCTATAAAAGTATATAAGTAACATTAAATTATCCATAGGCTTTAAAGTAATTAGTATTTCTCTGATATCATGTCAAAATAAAAGAACCACTAAAAATTTAATCTTCACTAATAAAAAATGTATATAAAAGCCTTTACTAACACTACTTACTTGTATTAGCTGCGTTGTAGATTTATATTGGAAGGCGTTTTGTGATAGATCGACTTCTACTGGGAATAGAGAAGCATTCTCTTTTAAATGCTCCATTGTTTCACTGAAACAAAGTATATAAAAAAAATATATCCGGCTCGAAGGACCAAAAAATTATAAAATCCCATTTAATGAAGTCAGAAATTTGAATGTTATCGGTTAAACATATAAGCGTAAATAAATAAAAAAACACATCGTCTTTTACGTTGATTAAACGATATGTAAATTGTATACAAATATTACTCTGACATAAATATAAATCAACAGCTGTAAATGGTTAGAAGATGAAAGTTTGACTGACAGTGCTTGTCTACTTTCTTTAAGAATCTAGACAATGTATGTATGTATATTAGACAACTAGACTTTCATTAATGAATTAATTATTATTGAATATCAAAAATATCAAGTTTTAAGTAAAATTTTACAGAAAAAATATCAACTATCATCCTTTTTCATCTGGTTGAAGTGAGTGAGTGAATAAGTGTTTGTATGTGTGTATGTCAGTAAGCGCGTGAATGAGTGAATGACTAAGTGAGTCAGTAAGTGTTTGAATGTGCGTTAGTGAGTGTTTGACTGATTTAATTAGCAAGTCAGTGAGTGTATAAATCAGTGAGGGTGTAAGTGCTTGAGTGTGTGAATGAGTCAGTAGGACTAACTTACTTGAGATAAACTGCCAACCCTTGAATGAATCTACGTAACTGATAAGCGACATCTTGAGTTTTCTTGTTGTCAAGGAGTTCCAGCTTAACTAAAACATCTGATCTCAATCTCGCAAATCTATTTCTTGCTTCTTGGCGACAACGGAGAATTAATCTAAATAAATTAGTATATGTATAATATACTAGAGATTTACCCTTTGTTCGCTCGGGTTCGTCCCTAGACGCTTAACAATGGCCTGTAAAGTAACTGAACGGCCATTTTTTCCAACTTCAATTAAAGTTATCATGATTTCTAACAATAAATATATTTTTTGGAATACAAAATTAGTTTATAGCACTCGGAGGTAATACCCGTATATTAGCTAGCTCCCGATAAGTGAAAGAAGTTTTAAAATCGGATCTGTAGTTTTAGAGATTATCTCCTACATACAAACTCTTTATAATATTAGTGCAGATTAAAAATAATTTATATATCTATTTGAACACGTATTGGTTTTATTTATAACTAGCGGCTCAGTCTCTAGGTGTCCACCAGTAATCTATATGTGACTCCAGGTCACATATGTGTGCTACGTCCAGCCGTTTTAGTATGAAAGAGTAACAAAGATACACAAACAAACATACATTCAAACCTTCGGATATATAATTGTATACCTGTTATATGTGCAATAAAAATCATCCAAGAGCTTGAAAAGAATATAAGTAAAACACTAATCAAATTATCTAATATGGGAATATATTTAAAAAATATGATAATACTGACCTATACTCATAATTTCCAGTCTCTACTCTATACAAGGGCTCCTGTAAAGCATTATAACCGTATTCTTCGTCGTCCATTTCTTTTACTTTGAGGCAATAAGACAAATATTCAAACTTTGTGTCGGCGTATTTGCGTATCGTCAGTTTTGTGTCTGGAATGGCTTTATGTAAATACGTCCCCATGTCCGCTAGAATCTATTGTAGTATCACAATATAAAAAAAATACTTTTATGACATAAACTTTGTGTACTTAAGTACGCATGTAAGAAGTTATACTTGTTTGGCGTAACAGAACAAAAATAAATAAATAAATAGCTAAAGGTTTCATCCCGTATGTCACAACTCTCTGTTTATAAAAGGAATGCGTCGAAGTCTCATATTTTTTCCAAACGTGCCAAAAGAAGTATAACTTTAAAAATAAAAATCAATAACCCCATTAATTTTAATAAAAAATGTCAAATGCATTATGCAAGGTAAAAATACCAATTTTCATGGCGAACGATACAAAACGAACTGAACTGTAGTGCCATCTCATGCGCAACTCGTGCGCAAACGCAAATTGTATATTAAATATTTATTTTCACGTTTCTTAAAAAAGTTAAGTAATGTCTAAAAAGAGCATTTTATGTTAAAACTTTAAAAACATAATATTCAAAATCCTCACCGGTTTCAAGGTTTTCAACATTTTAATGCCATCCCTTTCTAGTAGTCTATGATATTGACCAAATTTTGTGAAGGCTTCAGACGCCCGAGCCTGTGGTTCCCTCACACCAATCGACGCAAATATATCTCCCAAGGACTTATATGTTTGTAGCAAATCGAAGTATGACTTTAGCATCCTATAAATATTATATTTTTCTTATTTAATATCATTTTGGATCGACTTCAAAATAGGTCGAGGTACTAATTCGAGCGTTTGTTTTAGTACCTATTTCATTTTTTTAATCAATAGCTATAAATTCAAAAAAAAGCACTGCTAAAAGTACAATTATTTATATATTTATTTTGAGTGTACGTACTGTTTAGCTAAAGAGTAACTATTGCAGATAATAACATCTTCATAATAATTACGAATACTCAGACATAAAAAAAACAAAAAAAAAAAAAACAAAAAAAAATAGTAATTATAACATTTGTACAATCACTCACTGAAATCTTTTTTAAGTAAAACTATCGTTTGGGATTTTGTCGCGCTTTTATTTTATATTTTTGTTCTCAACGTTTTTAATGATTTACAAACTTGGTGATGACAGACTAATTTCAATCGAACTCCGTAGAGATAGTTTCATTTAAAGTAATATATATTCTTTATTGCACAAAAACGTAGTCATAAAAAATTACATAGAAAGTGACGTGGACAAAGGTAGACTTATCTCTATAAGAGATCTCTTCCAGTCAACCCATGTATAAGGGAAATAGTGGTAGTGAAAGAGAAAGTGTAGAGAAAAATTGTAAGGTAATAAACACATAAATAAAAATTAAATAACATATTCGCGTAAATAATAGAAAAATAAAATAAAAGTTTTTTAGCTGATAACAAGAAGAAATAAGAAGACCATACCTTTTAGCATGTTCGACCAATCTTTTATACGTGGTTTCAGTGTCTCTCATTTCATTTAGTTTCGCTACTAATGTATCATTGCAAAGTATTGCTCGGGAGAGTCCGAGCGCATCAGCCGTTCCCGTTGACATATTCTCAACTAATCTGTGTTTCATTTTCTTCATTATTATATCAAGGGACTTCCCCTGTTTTGGATCAGCGTGAAGTTTGTTGTAATTTATTGTTACTTGGTCCTAAAAATCAATTTGAATAAATTAATTTAATTTGAACCCGCTTAACTAAGGCCACTTTGCATTGGCTTTGTAGCTACACTATAAAACTTACTTTCCAAATAAAGTGTATAGTTTCAACGATTCATTAATTTATTCAAAATTCAAAGTAATAAGCTTCAATCACATACATTTTGACAATCACAAATGAACATTCAGAATCTACGAGATATTTGACATAGCTATATATACCTACAAATAATTTAATTCTTACCTTTGCAGCTTGTATCATTTTGGCAACTTCCACCTTAGTTTTCCCTTTGACCGTTTGCGCGTTAACGCCTACAAGCTCGTCTCCACTTTGTAAAGTACCATCTTTAGAGGCTGGCGTGTTGTCAAATATCTAAAGATAATCAAGTGAAAATTCTTTGTATCAAGTAATAATAAAAAAGCAGTCATGAGGACTACCGATAGAAGTGAAAACTTAAAACTTTAAACAATCTGTTGTTATTTTTGAACATTCAAATTAATTTTTTGATCTTAAATTATAATTTTTAAATTAAAACTGTTTACATTTATCTGGTTTTGACATCAGACTATCGGCACTCTGAGTGTTAGCGTTAACACGTCACGTGAACATGTCGATGACGACTTACATGAATTTACTCCAAATCCAAACTTGCCTATAGAAGTTTTCACTTCAATAATGATCTTCTGACCGATTTCAAGCAGCCGAATAAATAATATAAATGGTGAACGAACGGATTGTATGCAAATTTTAGTTTTGTCTATTTGAGTAAATGTATAGGATAATTTACAAATTACGATATATTTTATACGTCTATTATTTTTTATTTGAGATAAAAAAGGAGCTTGTCTGAACCGAGCCGTCTAATTAAATGGCATATACACTATATCCACCAGGACCCTAACAATATATATACTTGATATATTATATCTGCCAGAATTTCTAATACAATTGGATTAGTTCGTAGGTTTGCTATAATAATCAGATATTCAGATACTAAGATATTAATATTTGTTTTGCAAATAAGTAAGTATATATATGTTAAAAACTGTATCAGCTTTAATAAAACTATCTTTTCGGATTTCTTCGCAGATCTATATTGTTTTTTGGTTCCCGACGTTTCCAATGCTTTACAGCAATCATGGTCACGGGAAAGCTATGATTATTGTAAAGCATTCGAAACGTCGATAACCAAAAATAAAAAAAAACCGCGAAAAAATCCGAAAAGATAGTTTTATTTAAAATGTCACATATTCGCGTAAATCTAAGATAGTATTATAGTATGAGCTTAATGTTATATAGCTATTTTGTCATAAACGATCTTTAACTTTGGAAGTTAGCGGTGTTTCATCCCCGTGCAGGACAAAGCACCTAAGGTCATTGCAGTAAAGTGTGTGATCTCTCATCACGAGCGTCAATCTCAATCAACGGAGTTTGAAAGTGAATGAAAAAGAGTGAGAGACATGTTGTGTTGGCTAATTGCCTAGACTGAATGAGAATAGCTGCCGTGGCCGAAATCGGCCAGAAAGACAGTGCTATTATTACTACTTACCTGTACTATGTATAAGCATGGACATAAAGGCGCTCCTCCACCTATACTGATTCCGATGAGGTTTTTCTCATCTTTATTTAACACTACACTTCCTGATGTCACTGTCATACCCCTGGAATATTATTCCTATGATTATAATATAACTGTGTAATAACAATATATGATTAAAAATATTATTGAGTTTAACGAAACTATGTTTTTTTTGTAACACTATGTAATAAATATATATAATAATAAATATAGATGATAGTAAATGTTTCATAGGTAACAATTTACAACTATGGTTGGTCATATAACGTGCTTAACTTTAAAATGCTACCCATTCGGTTGTTTTTTTTTCATTCATACACTGGCAACACTAAATTCGCTTTATCTTTGTCGCCGTTGTTAGGGAAACTCTTATTCTATATAAAATTATTTAAAAAAATTGTTAGCTTAACATAAGGAAAGTGATTTTTTTCATTTCAAATATCAATTGTCATGGCGTTCACCAAGAAAATTGGTTTCGAAGTTATAGCATTGTGGCAAGTTATAGTTATACCCGTCAACCCCAAAGCAGTTTCCCGACTGTCATATGAATGTACGTATGACCGTTAGGAGCGCTTCCGTGACTTCGCTCGCACGCCCCTCACAATTGACCTGTCTAGACGCTGTTAGACGACTGTATGGATTAGTAGACTTTGGTATTACTTATTCATAAATATAAAATTTCTGTAGCTGTCAGAGTCACTAGCTTAGCGTATGCATACATTTTTGGTTGTAGAAAGTTTGGTAGTAGAAAGTTGTGAGTTAATAAAAATGTACTAGATACACAATCAGCAACAAAAAATGTTCTCACCGAACGAGCGCTCATTTAAACATTTATTTAAAAAAAATATATTTGAAAATAACTTTAAGAATAGCTTTTAAGGTTCAATTTACATTGTTGTATATTTATTTCAACTAGAATAATTACCTAAACACAATTGGTCACAGTTTTGAGAGAACTTTTGCATGGGATTGTGTATCTACTATCTAGTACATTTTTAATCGATGTTGTAGAAAGAAAACACAATTAGTTTATTTCACACTTTATTTTCACAAGCTTAAATAGTACTTAGCGCTATAGAAAATGTAGCTCTTACAATAAATAAAATTCTTAAAGTTTTACTTCACATATTTTACCAAAAAATAACACTGGCTGGAAGCTAAGCACACTAAAGTTTAGTTTTCGTTAAAATTTTAATCGTAATAAATAGATGAGTGATGCACAATTTTCCCAATTAACTAACCAACTTTAAAGTGGAGTTTTTCAATTAAATATTGGCATTTAAAATCTTTAATTTAATAATTTAGTATTTGTTATAAAATATTCTCTGTAATGTAATAATCTGTAAATCGGCCTAATTGAGAACCTCCTCCTTTTTAAATCGGTTAAGAATATAAAATGAATGACTCATGAACAATTAGAGCTTATCAAAGTAAACAAAATGTACAAGCTCAATCAAAAGTAAAAGTAAGTAACTGCAATTTTGAATAAATAGATCTTATAGCAATATACATATATTAATAATATATAGCAATAAATAGCAATAATTGTCTTATAGGAATTTTGTGATAAATATGTATTTTCAACTCACATGAGATTTTGGTGCTGTATCATATATCGTTCACGCCGCATGTCGTTGAAAATACAGTCGCTGTTTTCCACATCTTCTACAATTTTTCTAAAAATATAAAGCAAAAAGTAACCACATGTAAGCAAAATAAGATAATTATAGTTAAAAATCTTGTATAGAAGTGTGGGACCTCTGAGATTTTAGACATAGCATCTCCCCTTCCAATCCGACTTTGATTATAAGTGTGTATAAAAGTTAAAAAAAAAAACAGTAATCCATTATAAAACAAAAATCAATAATGAATCGACCATGCTTAAAGATCAATCTTGAACTTTTGCTTAATGCTTTAACTTACAACTACATCTCCTTATTTGACGACACGTAGGTATGAATCAGTTTGTATTGACCCTACGTACTATGTCAGCGGTCGCGAGTTCGAGTCCCGTTAGGGGTATTCATTTGTGTGATGAGTACGAATGCTTGTACTCCAGTCATGGATGTTAATATTTATAATATGTATGTATTTAAAGTTATATACGTTAGTGTATCAACTATCTGGTGTCCATAACACAAGCCTCGTAGTTTACCATAGAACTAGATGGTGCTGTGTGTTAATGTCCAAACATTTATAAAAAATAGATTTATTATTATTTTACAGGAATATAATGTTAGATACATTATGTGATTGTATTTAAGAAATTAACCGTTTCGTAAATCTAAAACTAAATATAATCTCAAGCTAAGTATTAAGTAATAATTGTTATTCCATTACATTGTGGTTTTGGGAGATCCGTTCTAGGTAGTAGACCTCTTACTCTTTTCCAGACGATTTTTTTTAAACCATAAAACATATCAACAAACACGACGGACATACGGTTGGCGGCCTTTTTCGAACATCCTACCTGACATCCAGTTGGTAAACAGGTAAATTGAAATAGTTAATTGCTCGTATCGTTTTTCGGAACAAGCCTAGTATCAAAATGTAGATTATTTTATAAAAAAAATTATGACATAAGGTTATTATATCAAAACATCTCCAGACTAGAGCTTTTTTAGCAAAAAATAGCCTGGAACAAATTCATGGTGACGACTCCCCTAGGTCGTGTTTGTTAATGTGTTATGATTTAAAAAATATATTTCGCCTGGAAAAAGAAGGTAGGGTCCACCACATAGGTAGGGATCTTAGACTATGAGTTGTGGAAGTGAGTGCAAAACTCTGAATATGTTTATAATTATTGTGAGAAACTTGGTACACATTTGTGAATTCATAGTTGTTTTTTAATTTGAGATTTCTGAACCTATCAATAGATGGCGCTGCCCAAGAGTAAGAAAATACATAGAGCTACAATGGAGTCACGGAAAAATTATTAAATGATCCAAAAATACACTTACTCTTCCAAAGATTCTTCGTGTCTACTTTCCTTTTCTTCCATCTTCATCATTAATGCACTATAATTGATATTTATTAATGTAATAAAATAAAAATTATCAAAAAAAATATGTATTAAAATTATTTACGCGAACTTACCTATCATCAACGGATAGGGATAGGGAATTTCCGATTTTTGTGTTGCTATATAAAAAAAATTCAAAATTAAATAATAAAATAAATATTTTAACTTCTATTTTTCAATACATATTTTGTATTTAGATTTTTTTAACCCGCTTTAATTTTTTCCTATTAAAATAGAATTTAAGAATAGGGAATGTTATTAGATATATATAAAAACTTTTAAAATAAAAATAAAAACCAACTTCCAGGCACTAAAATGTAAAAAATAACTAAACGGGGATTTTCATTTAGAATAGATACCTAATCAGATATTTTCGAAGTCGATAAACAGGTAATTTGTAAGAAGAAAGTTTTTTAATAACATATTCCATTAAACAATTTATTTAAAAAATAATTTATTGTTGATTTTTTAAAAACCGCTTCAAAGATTGCTATAAAATTTAAATGGACCACCTGAGAGGTATACTTATCGAAACAAAAAAGTATTCTAAAACGGTTCAAAAAAGTATTCTAAAACGGTTCAGTTCGAGTGATTGGTGAACATACATAAAAAAAGATTCCTTCTTGGATGTCGGTTAAAAAGTAAAATATAGCAGAAAACTTTATATAGATCTTTTTGTTAAATAAATGGTAAAATAAAAAGTTATTAAAAAACGAAAAAAAACTTAATTAGTTTTCGTAAGTTGTATAAAGTAGGCCATAAGCTTTGATTATATATGTATAATTAGCATTGCCCGCAGCTCCGCCCGTCTTTAGATGAACAAAAACCAAATTCTTAGGTTTTACATATTAGTATACTCTTACATTGCAGTTTTTGTATTTTTTCTCAGAAATGAGATATTTTCCCGCGGTAAAAAGTACTCTATATGTTGACCCGGATAACCAGCTTTCACCATACCAAATTTCATCAAAATCCCTACAGTGGTTTTTCCGTGATGCGGTAACAGACAGACAGACAAAAATTCTAAAAAATATTGATTCGGCCTCTGTATCGAAAATAATGTCTATTTCAATAAGATTTTCCAAAAAATATTTTATGTACAGATTCGGCTTAGAATTCTATTATATGTATAGATCAAAGGCCATACGGTGATTTCTAAGAAGGTAGAGGCTATTAACAATAACGAAATAAAGACATCTCACTCGTTAAATTTGTACAAAAAAATATTGACTTTTTAGGGTTTTTAGGGTTGGTTTAGGGTACCTAAAGTATTTTATATCCTGACCTTTTATTAAATTAAATAGAAACGTACGACACGTTTCTATATAATTAATTAGAAGGTAAAAAAATAACTAAAAATACCAACATAATAATAGAAAATAAGAATATTTACATTCGGTCCTCAAACATTTTGTAGTGAAACCTTCAAAACAGCACTGTAGCACTTACAAATATACACTGCAACACAGGAAGAGATAAGCATTGAGATAATAAAACAACTTGTTAAAAACCGACATACATTTTGTCCTCTTCAAAGAAGTAATCGTCGTCATATTCCTGCATCATTTTGTTAAAACTTTATAGTAATATGCGAATTTTAATGGAAACAAACTATATGTATTAGTAAACGTCGTTGTTGAAATTATTGATTTTTAAATCCACGTCTACGAGGAACGCGTCGGTAAAGCAGTCAGACCAATCAGATTAAAGGAAAATGGCGGCAAATGTTTGTATTATATCTATATTTGTTTATTTTTATAATTACGTTTGGAAACCTAGATTTTAATTACCATAACTACCATGTCTTTTCCATAGTTTTGTCAGTAAAGTAAATGAATATTAGTTATGAAAACTAAATACTACACTTAAAATACCATAATTTATATAATCAAAGAAATTAATCTTTATGTAACTAAACTATACGATTTTTCGTTTATAAATTAGAGACTTCATTTTTACATCAAGAATTCTATTATACCCTTCCAGAAGGTTTTAGATTAGAAATCATCAAAATTCTTAATGAGAACAAACTTGCTACTTTCCCTTCCAAAGACTTCGCGCCAAAACAGCTTTTTCTTTTTTGACGTGTCTTTAAAATCACACCGAATCTTGGGATTTCATAATTACTTTACTTAATAATTTTAATACAAATCATAAGCCCTCGCTTTGCCGAAGTCGTCTCTAGATGACTCAGTGAGTTACTCCAAGTCACCTGTGTACGAAATTTCGTACAAATCCATCCAGTCGTGTAGCGTGAAGGAGTATCACACATACACATACATGAACTGCATTTGTAATAATATTCCAGTTAAAGGTATTTTATTGATAGCATAATAACAATACAACTAAAATTATAATAGGTTTACTAAAAATTACAATAAAATGTTGACGTGCTTAACGCATGTTATTTACTATCCAATCTCGGTATTGAGCTACATCAGTGTAGACGGTGTAAGCGTTTGGATCGCAAATGTCGGCGTCTTTTCGCGCCAACGTCGTCGATACTATTCCTTTGACGTACCAAGCTCCTGGTCTCTCTTCAATTGGAACTTCCTTGTAATAATGATACTTTCTATCATCCTCTACAAACACAAAGAATCCACCGCCACTATCTCCGTTACATGCAGAAGTACCTACAAAATAAAGTACCATCAAGATTGATTTATGATTCTTATGGGATAACGAAGTTAAGATCTTATGTTAAAATGTTAGCGTTATCCCATCGTTGAGTCAGAGTGCGTAAGTGATCCTGCGACAGCCTATGAAGGTGGAGGTTCTGTTAGGTTTTTGTGTTTCCGCATTAATATGCATATTATTAAGTATTGTCTTGGATTTTATTACATTTTACGTCATTTTCTTTGTGTAAATTTTCTTACCGTTACTATTTCCAGCACAAAATTTCTTCCCATTTAGCACACTGGTGTAATATATTGGTTCGTATCTTATACAAGTTATATCTGGGACTATTGGAAGTGTTGCTGTACGAAGGTTTTTCGATAGAATATCAGCTTGGTCTATCCCCCATCCCACCACCTGAATTTATAGAAAATGAAATTAACTAAAATGACATTACATATACTATTCTTTAAATACAGAAATTAACATGTAATAACATTAGTTTGCAAAGGCTGTGAATTATCGTAGTGTAGTGACATTATGTGGATAGTGTTTATTTCAGAAGTCGACGGACAGATTCTCGATATGGAGGCTCGTGCGGTGCTATTATGCAAAGAGGCGGCTGCCTCAGGCGGCACAAACTAGGGGCGGCATTTGGAATTACAAATACCCCAGATACTCACGTGGACTAAAATTTTTTCGGAAGGGCAACCCCTTTTCTCATAATTTAAAAGAATTTTCTAGAAATTGACCTAATATATACCTTTCAGCAATATTTATGTAGCTCCAATAGTCTCCGAGTAATATTGCTGTGACGTATGGACGGACGGGCGGACAGAAATTATAAGGATTTCGTTTTTGCCTTTTGAGCTGCGGAACCCTATTGAAAATTATCTAGGGGCCGCATTTCCAAAACTTGATTATACTGAGAAAATCTACAATCGCCCTGTCGATATGCTTTATAAAATGTTTCTAGGTTGCTTTTAGAAACCATATTGGCAAAAGTTTATTATTTTTAACTATTTTGTGGATCAGATATCAATTTTTTGACGACGATTATATTAAGAATGCTAATGTTTTAATAGATTTGAATACTTACCGTACCAGTAATTTCAAAAGATGGTAAATTGTCATAGATTCCGTCAAACCAAATACAAGCTGGTTGGACGAAGTTGTTAAATGTGGCTTCTGTACTTAACTTCAACAAAGCGATATCATTATTTCCGGAGTTCTTATTATATTCATCATGAACAATTACTTCAGATACCTAGTAAGATACATAAAGAATTATAAAGCGTAATTGATTGTCATTATGAATATGAATATTGAAGAGATTGCTTTACCGATTCTAAATCCACCAACTCTTATATATTAAATGCTTAGATTCCTACTCCAAAAACAAAAGTTTGTGCATTTCATTCAAACCGTTGTCAATTTCTTTGATATGTTTCTATAAAGTTAAGGCATATTTATTCGCAAAAACGACGTAAGGAGAGATAGCGTCTCATCATTTATTATTGCTATTCTATGTCCATAAACATATTTTACTTTTTTAGTTATTTGATTATTTTAAAGACGTCATTTTTGCTATCAGTAATAGTTTTTGCTGACTCCTCCTCCGTATTAGCTTCCGTAGTTAATAATAATAATAATACTGAATGTAGTATAAATTGGAAGTAATTAAATAAATGAAGCAAAGGTACTACCTCTCTGTCTTGATTAGTAACTTCAATTCGATAGAGACTATATTTCCCGAGAACTACTCCAAGAAGATCTGGATTGACTGGCACACCTCGGACTGTGGCGCAATGAGCGGCTACGATAAAGAAGATCATTTGTAAGCCGAATTGGAGAGAACGTATATTTTATATAAAACTACATATTAGTTTAAAGTACATCGCCTTTTTTAATTTTAATTATAATTAATAGCAAGCTGCAACTTCACGAGTAGCTACGTTTTTATGAGACGCTTAACTTTTCTAATTTTTTTGATGTTATCATCAATAATTAAGAATTAAACCAGTCAAGTGCGTGTCGGGCCAAGCGCAATGTAGGGTTCCGTAGTTGCCTATCACAATAATATGGACTATGAAGAAGATTTAAATGAACATTGAAAGTTAACGGTTTCGGCGGCTCATAGTAACAAGTACATTTTATAAGTTGGTCAGCGACTACTCGTAAACTTGTAAAGCCAACTTAGACTTCAATTGAACTGACCGTGAATTTTTTCAAACATCCAAAAACAATCATTTAGTTGGCAGAGGTTGGGGGGACACTTGACTCAAAAAAAATAAGCACTTTAAAGCTTAATATTTCACAAACGGATTCCTTAATCGAAAAATTATATTTCAAGAGCCTGCTATATTTTTTAAAGACCTAGAGAGATTTTATTTTGTCACTTTGTCGGCATGACTAATATGTATGTCCATGCCAAATTACAGCTTTGTAGTACTAAGAGCCTCTGAACTAAGCTGTGGACAGACGGACGGACGGATATGGCGAAATTATAGGTGTTCCTTGTTAACTACGGAACCCTAAAAAGGGGCGGTGTATATCGTTTCAGATTTTTTTTTAATTTTTTGCTTTCGAAGTTTCAAATTCTTTACGAAACATGGTTACGGAAGAGACTACGGTTTTTGACGGCTCAAAAGACTCATTAAATGAAGTACCACACGTTAAAAATCCATACTTCCATTATAAATATCATTTATAAATGTGTAAGTCACTCAATCTGTTACCATTTTACATTTAAACAGCTGAACCGATGTCGATAAAATTTGGCAAGGACATAAATTGCATCCTGGGATCGGCACAAACAGCGGTTATCACGAAACCGTTGGCAAAAGCTAGTAGTTAATAAGTTACCTGTTAAAACTACATATTTTGAAATCAATGTTCCTCCGCATATGTAGTTTAGGATACCTCGTGTAAGCTTATTTATAGCGGCATGCCAAGGCCAGTGGCCTGCTTTCGTCGTAGAACCGCTGACAATTAATGGTATAGATTCTTTATTTACTTTTCGCCTGCCACAGAATTTGTCAGGTGCATCAGGTAAATATTTTGCGACAAAGTTGTCCCTTTCAAAGTATGTCTGAAATAAAAAAATAGTAGAAAAGCAAAATCTGTACCTGAATGTTTTTTAAAAACAATGACTTATGTATTGTGAGCAGAGTATAATAGACCCCAAAACAGTATTTATTGAATATTTTGTATGTCTGTCTGTATATATTTGCGCATATCACGCAAAAAGTACTAAGCCGATTCTAACGAAATTTTATGTAGTGAGTATTGACTAAGGCTCACTCGCACTTTGCCCGGGTTTGCCTCTAGAAAAACTAAAAAATAGCCTATGTACTTTTCCAGAGTATAATCTATCTCTGTGCCTCATCCAGATCCGTTTAGCCGTTATTGCGTAATTTTCACGTTTATAATATTAGTAGTAAAATTACTTATTTCTCGGATCAATATTTAAGATATATCTTTTGCTACAGGAAAATCTTTCATTTCCATGGATAATACAAAAACTGGTTCTGCCGCGTGATCCTTAGAATATATAACGTTGGCTAAACCTTAAGAGACATGTCAAAACAGTATATTAGTAAGATGTTGGTCCTAAAAAATCTACAGAAAAGTCCACAATAGCATAAGGAGATAGGATTGCGAGGGTACCTTGGGAGGTAGCTCCTAAGTTACCTTCGCAATAACTAATTTTATCTATTGGAAATGTACACAGGGACGTATCCGAGCGAAGCGAGAGTTAGTTGCTGGTGTTTGATAAAATTATTTTCACATTTTAAAGGTATTCTTATATTAATAAATTTACTTTCTGCGACTTGATATGGAAACATAGATTTCTGAACTTTTGACAAACGAACAGCGTCACCTTTTAGAAAATTTAATTAGTAGTGTATCTATGTACGAAACATACAGAGTTGATCCTTCAAGAAGTTGTAATAAACAACAAAATGTGTTAATGTGTTATAAAGGGTACAAAAATATCACAACGATCAGAAATCTTAACATCACAACCAGGAAATTGATAACTGGGTTGTATAGATTAGCATATTTGTACATATATAATATGTATGTAGTTGACGATGTTTTGAAGTTATTGCATTATAGCACGCCTGATTTAGATACGACACAAAATTCAAAAGAAATTAAATTAGATTTAGTGTCATCATCTAGCCAACTTTATATTTTGTTATATAAAATTTTTTATGGTCAACGATATTCCATATTGATGTGGGATTATGATTAATAAGAATTTAGTAAAAAACAAGCCGTACCCGGTTAGGATTTCTACAGTTTTCTTCTCCATTTACTTTAAGGCTGACAATGTAGGGTGGATGATGAGGAAAGTCTTTTCCTTTTACATTAAATGTAAAATAGTGTGACTCTCCTAGCAAAACAAATGAAAAAATATTGTTAATTAAATCTTCCTCTGACGTAAACCTTACTTCATTTAATATACTCTGAAAAGTAATTCCTTCATTTAGTAAAAAGCAATAAACCACCATAGTTGAGGTCAAGAAAAAATCTCAGAATTACTTACAGGAGTTACTATTGCGATAGAATCGAATTTCACTTTTATGAGCGTGGCAGCTGTTAAATTCTTTTTTATTGCGACATCATACCCCTCGTTCATGGGGTAATAATTAGAGTAAATATCATTATTTCCAGAACAAAAATTTACTTTTTCAACTGGTATATATACATGACTTTGGGTACCACATATTTTGATAACAGCACTTATTGATACTAAAATTATATGTAAAATTAACATTGTATCGTTTTTTATTAATCACTTCACTACACTATTAAAAATTACATGATTTTATTAAATAATAAATAATATTATTGTTAAGTCAACAGGTTTAAACACAACCTACATTACGTACGTATTCGTTATAACAGTAGGTATAATACGTAGCGCTTATGTGAGACAGAAAACGAGTTTCTAATAGCACTTGACCTTTCCTTATACTGAGATGCGTTTATACATATGTATGTAAGTATATATCTTATTATTCATTTGCTCAAAAGTAAAATCTTTTAATTTGTTTGAAACTTAAAAGATTTTATTTAAAATAGTAAGAGATCTTTTAAGGTTTTTATAATAGTCTGGGAAGTCTACGCCATAGAAAATTATATGTGGTAATATGAATAATTATAAAATATTTGTTTCAAATTTTAGGCTTTAATCCTTCAGCCCTAATTCAAGGATATTACTCGGAGAAACCATCATATTACTAGTTCTTAATCAAAAGTTTTGATATGTAATATAAATAATGTTATAGATATTTTTTTAGAACATTAGCGAACGTGTTTTTTGCTTCAGGGTCGTACAGACGGAAGTGAATTACGCTATTAAAATTTAATATAATAAATAGGTAAAGTGTGTAAGTTTGTAATTAGGGGCTAATCTCAGAAAATACTCATCTGGCTATTTTTTATTACGTTAAAAATGTATAAATATTGTTATCGATTGTTCTAGCTCTTCCTTTTTTTTTATTTCTCTTTGCTTAAAGTTTGCTTGGAAAGATTGCTTTCTAGCAATAAGGTCGCCCATTGAGCTTTTCTGCTTGGTTTTGTTTCTATCATGTAATGTAAAATAATGGTGTGTGTGGTGAATATTTGTATTTGTAAATAAGTTCCATTGAGTTTAGAACTAAATGGCTGTCGACGTTTAGGATAAAGTTATAAAATGTACGGCAAAAAAACACCTACGGATGTACCTTGGCAAAGCGAAGAACGTTAATAATAATAATATATAAAATTAAAAAAAAAACCGACTTCAAATAGGCACTCAAAAGTCTATATATATGTATGTTGTAAGTAGGTAGATACTTGTAGGTAGTATCTATCTACTACCTATTAGATTTGGCTGGCACCGACTTCAAATGGATTAGTGGGTGTAGCGCTTATAATTATATTAATTTATTTTTCGATTTTGAGTGCCTATATTGTGGTTTTGAAGTCGGTTCTTATTTATTTATTTTTAAGTTTTTATTTTTCCTTTTTAGTGTAGACGTAGTAGTAGCAAAGTAAGAAAAAAGTATTTTAATATAAACGCATGTACAAAAAATTTCATGTCTGTCCTAATCATCGTTGAGGAGTTCCCTCGCCCGAAGTCAACCCTGGGTGCAGCAGCCATGTCATGATGGAGCTTGGAACAGGTTATATTATAGTTATATCCATTTACAAAATTTCGTGTGCTTGCTGTTCGCCGTTGAGGAGTTCCATTATCCACCTCCTGACTCTATCATCAGATCAGCTCAATAAAAACAGATTATTGCATTGTTACTAAATTTACATAAGTATGCAAAATTTCAGCTCAATCGGAACCCGGGAAGTGGGTCAAAATTGACTTCTAAGATTTTATTACATTGTTAGTTTTTCTCGATTTCCTACAGATTTCATCATCAGATTCTGACTTGATGATAATGATACCACCTCGGGAGTGTATACTATGGTATGGGTATCCTTACGAACTAAAAAAGATTTTTTTAAATCGGTTCACAATTGGCGAAAATATCTTTGAACATACACAAAAAAATACATACAGACGAACATAGAACCTCCTCCTTTTTGGAAGCCGGTTAAAAATAAAGAGATACGTTACTAGTCTGATAAAAACGGTAGATAATTAATTAATTACCTACTGAATTTTAAAAATACATTCTCCTTACTTTGCTACTACTTTCTATAACTACACTAAAAATGGAAAAAATAACCACTAAAATGTAACAAATAACTGATTGGTAGTTTTTAATTACTACTACTACTTTGAAAATATCTGATTAGATATCTATAGTAAATTAAAATTACCAATCAGTTATTTTTTACTTTTTAGTGTTTTTTTGAAGTCTGTTTTTATTTATTTTTTTAAGTTTTTATTTAGATCAAAACATGAGGTAACTAACAGACATACAATTTTAGAATCAATTTATCATCTTATAGTCATAGTCTATCTGTGTACAAAACAGCGTGAAGGAGTATCAAACATGCATGTATATACAAACTTTTGTATTTATAATAAAAGTAGTCCATTTAATACTTAGATATTTTATTGATATCATAATTACAATACAACTAAAATTACAATAGGTTTACTAAAAATAACAATACGGAGCGTCTATTGATCTTCTATATTATAAAGAGGTAAAGTTTGTGATATTGTGAGTTTGTGGGTTCGTGAGTTAGTGAGTTTGTGACGTTATATGGAGTAATCTCTGGATCTACTGAACCGATTTTCAAAATTATTTTACCAATAGAAAACCACGTTCTTTCTGAGTGTCATAGGTTATATATTAACTCGAAGAATGAAAAGACTTTTTCATGGTAGTTGGATTTGCAAAGTCGGAGAAAAAACGATCGAAGGAAAAGGTTTCTTACGAACGCTGCGTTAACGATGAGAGATATATGATTATGTTCTAGAGAAAAGTTGTAGAGCTTAATAATGCCTACAAAAAAAGTCAGCGACAGCATATGTCTAACTTTTATATTTAAGTCACAAAAAGCAGTTTTTTGTATTAAAAATAATTTAAATCGGTAGGTCATGCTTATTGGTCATATTATCAACAATTATGAATTCTTATCAAAATAAGTAAATTTATCGTCTAAAATATTTAAAACAAAAAACTTTTCCTTTTTACTGCATATAATTAGGACAAATGGTTAAAGAGATAATACGACATACACGTAGGTATATATTTCTATAAGATGGTTTTTTTCATATATAATACGTTAATCTATCAATACTAATATTATAAAGAGGTAAAATTTATGAGTTTGTGAATTGTGAGCTTGTGACGTTGGAGGGGGTAATCTCTAGATCTACTAAACCGATTTAGATGTAATTTGATAAGATAGTTTGAGACCCTGGGAAGGACATAGGATACTTTTCATCCCGGTAATTATTCCTTAAGGGGGTGAAAATGGGGATGAAAGTTTGTATAGGGAAGCAAGCTAGGGACGAACCCGAGCAAAGCGAGGGTGGGTCGGTAGTCCTTTATAAAATACATAAATTATAAGGAAGGACGAATAAACAAATAAATAAGTAAGTAAAAAGTCCATTGGCTCTGCTCGGTTAAGGTATTTATTTTGCACATACTGAAACTCCTGCATCTAAAAATCACTTATTTTACATTGGAGAACAAAAAAAGTGGTAAATATTCGTACAAACGGACAGTAGCCGGACGACTAATATATTTTTTAATCAACCGATTATCGTCCTATTAAAGTACGAATAATTTTGTTTTATTCGTCCGTATTTTAAGTACAAATAGCAAGAGCCATAATTATTTATTATTCGTCCTATTGAAGTACGAATAATTATTTTTTATTCGTCCTTATTTTAAGTTAATAGCAACAGCCATAACAATAAATATATATTGACGTTGTATTTAACGCATGTTAGTTACTATCCAATCGCGGTATTGAGCAACATCAGTATAAACAGTGTATGCGTTTGGATCGCAAATGTTGGCGTCTTTTCGCGCCAACGTCGCTGATACTATTCCTTTGACGTACCAAGCTCCTGGTCTCTCTTCAACTGGGACTTCCTTGTCATATTGATAGTTCCTATCATCCTCTACAAATACAAAGAATCCACCGCCGCTATCTCCGTTACATGCAGAAGTGCCTAAAAATGAAAGTACCATCAAGATTGATTTATGATTCTTATAGGATAACGTAGTTAAGATTCTTATGTTAAAATGATCCTGCGACACCCATTAAGGCGAATTCCACTAATACGAGGGAGGTCAGGCTATAGTGCCAATTATAATGGGTAGTATTGGCTTTTCTAGCCGGTAAGTCCACCTGTTCTAGAGGTATGCAAAAATGCATTTCCTAACGTTAAAAAACGTTATCACATAAAAATTTCAGCCCTAGAGTTTAATTTATAACCATACATTATGATTATTATTATATATGTAAGTTACTCAAACATTAATAATAACAATGTATGTCCTGTATGAAATAGAAAAACAGTTTTTTTTTATACTATGTGAAAGGCGTTGTACGCATCAATATGCATATTTTTGAGTATTGTTTTGGATTTTATTATATTTAATGTTATTTTCTTAACATTACTATTTCTAGCACAAAATTTCTTCCCATTTAGCACACTTCTTAATCTATGAGTTGTATGAAATAAAAAAATGTGGTTTTTATTTGGTGGACATTTGTAATGTATATGTTCGCATTAAAATGTGATGATTAAGTATTGTCCTGGATTTTATTATACTTTACGTTACTTTCTTTGTGTAAATTTTCTTACCGTTACTATTTCCAGCACAAAATTTCTTCCCATTTAGCATACTGGTGTAATATATTGGTTCGTATCTTATACAAGTTATATCTGGGACTATTGGAAGTGTTGCTGTACGAAGGTTTTTCGATAGTATATCAGATTGGTCTATCCCCCATCCCACCACCTGAATTTATAGAAAATTAAATTGACAATTATCGTAGTGCAGTAACACTAAGTCTAAAAGTCTAAGATCCTGATCTATGTGGCGAACCCCTCATTCATTTTCCAAGCGAAATATAGTTTTTAAGCCATAAAACAACAACATATTTATTAACAAACGCAACCCAGGAGGGTTGTTAAAAGTATTTACTTACGATTGATACTAAGTC